TTATCCATTCTGTTCTTACTGTAGGTCATTGGGTCTAATGCTGGCCGACCATCTTAATCTCACTTAATGAAAGAGCTTAAATGCAAGTAAGAAACTAAGTTCACCAACACATACAATATTTGGAGCTTTGGTGACAAAAAAGAAATTCATTTTACTTTGTATGATAGATCAATTGTTTATTTTGAATGAGGGGTTGTCATATTGTCTCTCTGATGCATCTCACATGCTGTATCAACTTCTTAAAGAGCAGCTTTGATGTCAAATCAAGCACAAAGTAAAACTTAACTAACTCATGTCAGTTATTTTTTGAAGTGTAACAGTGGGACCTACAACAAAAAGCAAAGCCAAAATAAAAAAAAGGTCCTGATATTGATATTGCCTCTTGTACTTCACATCCCCTTTCCCTTAAAATGAAACAATGACCCTGAAGGCAAAACACTAGAAATGTTAGTTTCCAGGTCCAAAAAGTAAAAATTCTGTACAGATATTAGTTTCGACAATTTGCATTTTCAGCCCCAGAAGAGACTGAAGGCTAATCATCTGGGGGAGTGAACAGGATGAAGAAAAACAAGGCAGGGTTTTTACTTTCTGGACCTGGATTATCCACTTCTGGACTTGTCTTTGTGAAACTGTGAGCCTTTTATTGTAAAGATACAGGAAAAGATTTGTAGAGAGAAGAAAGACATTTAGCTTAGCTCTTCTTGGCCTCCTCTGATGGGTTGAACACTCTCCTCCTGCACCACAGTTCACCACTGCACCCGCTGAGTACAGTAGTAAACTGCAATCTGTTTTTTTTATGCTAATCCTGGAGAAATTACTTTCTTCTACAGTAATTTGGATTCATCTCTCTAGGCATAAACTCCTACAGGAATAAGCAAGACAATGCTTAGATGGAAAAAAGAAAACATTTATTTTCACCTATCAAAAAGTCTGCACTGAAATAATTTATCATAGTTGCTAATTGTTGCAAATATTACATTTTAATCCAACAGAAATCTCAAACTCATAATGTGAAAATTAAGATTAATATATATTTATTGATTATATCTCTATGTACAGAGATATATATGCATAAATCTATTATCAGGGGTCACTAGGCCAAACTCACAAACTTTAATCCAACAAAGTCCAAGTCGTTTGTCCACTCTGGAAAAGTGAACGGAGTAAAGAAAATTTACATCTGCATTAAACCAGAGGAAGCCTCTTTCAGTTCCAATAAGCTTTTGATTGTCTCCACTACATCTAGTCTTGCTCGGGGCGATCTGTAAACATACATCCAAACATTTCATCATTGTTACATCAAGTGATGGCGATGGCTAATCAGAACCTCCGCATTTGGTTTTCTTGTTTTGTCTTTAATGTTTCTCGCATGTGGATAAAGGCCATATATAGAAATACAACTGTTTTTTTTTAAGTATGATGTGAAGTAACAGTTGACTTGCTCCAAAATCTAAAAATTTAGGCCCTGTGGCAACTTGATGAAGTTATCTTTGATGTGCACTGCTGTATTTTTATTCACAATTTTACACTTTGTTGCAACATAGCAACAAACCTCAGAATGTTTAATGGAAATTTTATGTGACAGACCAGTGCAAAGTAATGTTGAGCAGAATGGTAAGTTCTGGTTGCTTGTTGTACCCAGCCCCCACCTCCACACCACTTACTCCATTGCAGCTTAATAGTGGATGCTGCTACTGCTGAGCTTAGTTATTACTGCTGAGGGATTTATTTTTTGACTGGATTTGAGTCTCACTATAGGTCATTTCAGTTGTTTTATTATAGTGTATAGAATACAGATTGAAATAAGTAAAACAATAGCATTTTTCAAATAGCTTTGCTTAGAAGGCATTATTTCATGTTTGCATTTCATCAAGGTGGTGTGAAAAGAACACTATCATCTGGAACAAATAGTCTTATAATGACAAAATAGAAAAAAAAACACCCACATAAAGTGAAATAAATATATTTTTGCCTTCAGTAAGAGGCTTTGTAAACAAACCACAAAGAACAGGGATGGAGCTGAGGACTCACCAGCTCTCTACAGGGAGCCTATATTTCAGACACTCTCAAGTTGTCTATGCAGAGCACTGTCTTTTTATAACAACAGAAAAGACCTGAACATCTTTAACACTCACTCACTGTTTGCCACTCATTTTCTTGCCTTTCAACACTTTGTTCTCCCCAGCGTAGGTGTGATAATCTGAATTAGTGTATTTAATATGAACCTTTGCTGGTATATTTGCACCTTCTATGGCAAACTATGCACTCTGGACAAGGCTTAGCATGAAAAAAAAATTCATATTGGCAACATGTGTTTTCTTAGGTTCATTGTGATATAGAAACAATAAATAATCCATGAACTGAAGAGAAAAAAAAAAAATATTTGGAAATGTTCTACAAATAAAAACAGACAAAGTGCAGCAGGCATGTAGTTAGTCCTCCTTGGTCCTATCACCACTGCATGACACTGCCACCACCATGTTTTACTGAGAACTGTGTTCATTTTCTACAACACAAAAGATTTTTGCATTAATGTCAAAGGATGAAATTGCAACCATGTCTTATCTAAAGACAATTCCGCAGCATGATGCTGCCACCACCATATTTCACTGAGGGAATGATATGTGAAGCTAAATCATTATCAAGTTTGATCTCTTCTGACGACAGCCTTCACTTTTTGCATTTTTATTACTTTTCTCAATTATTACTTTCTTGTTACCACGCTTCCATAAATGTTAGATTTTTGATTGTTATGATGGTGGCTTTTCATCAAAGTAGCCTGGACAGAACAGCTGTTCAGTCCTCATAGGTTAAAAAACACCTTTTTTTTTTTTTTAAATCGCAAGATGTGATTTTAAAAACAGATCTGTATTTTAATGATGTGGGTGGACATACATGTAGAACAATAGCTGAGACAGAGACAGAATGAGATGATGAGAAATGCTCATGAATCTGCTGTTCTTTGTACAGAACTGGGAACAGGGTGAAACAGACGGATAACGGGAAAGTGACAAAAGACCCAAGGCGGCATAAAAAAAATACATCTTTTTTTCACATTTACTGTAGGATAGCAGCAGGAAGGAAGAGTGGGAACTGCTTCCCCAACAAGAGTGTTCTTTGATTGAGGAGAAATGGGGACATTGTGGGCCTGGACCTAAAGGTCACCACGGATGTCAGCTCCAACGCACTGCCTGGACCCCTGCTGACTCACTGCTGCCTTAGATGACAGAGGATGACCAGGACTAATTTGGGTTTGGGTGAACTTGTACTTTAGTCAAATATTAGTCACAGCACCCAACTGGATGAAGAAGACAAAAAGAGTTTCCGTTGTTCGGACACATTCTGGTTTCCCAGTGAAACCTGACATGATTTTTCCTCCCCTTCCTGCTGGGCCGGCTTGTTCACTGCTCGTCTGTCAGGACTCCCGCAGAGATCCTGACCTGTTTCACTTAAGAAAACTTTTCTTCATCTGACATGAGGAAAAAATTGTGAAAACAAAAGCTGCTTTTGAATTGATTTGCAAAAGAATTTTTAAATTGGACAGAATTGTTTAATAGCAGTTATTTCATGGAGACAAAAAAAAACTCATTTCTGAAATTATGTTTAGACCTAAACAATTAAATGTATTTCATTAGGATTTCATGCAAGAAATTAACTAACAAAAATAAATATAAGTGGAAGGATAAGAACATATACTTATAAAAACTTTGTATTAAACCAGTAAAGAGAAGAGAAGGTTAAGGTTGATAAACTCCCTGTTTTGTTTAGTTATTTTTGTTTATATATATATATATATATATATATATATATATATATATATATATATATATATATATATATATATATATATATATATATATATACATCCGATGGTACATTTTCAGTTCCATGGCTATAAAAAATAAATAGAATTAAAGGCGTGAAAACACATTTATTAATATATATATATATATATATATATATATATATATATATATATATATATATATATATATATATATATATGTATATATAAAAATAAAAATAAATACATTTCAAAATGGAAAATGCTTTCACAACAGAATTAGAGATTCTAGTAGTCAAATTAGTGTGCAAATAAATGCAAACTAAATAAACAAAAATATAGCTAAATTTGACAATGTGTTAGTTCAGTTTAAGTTTATTCAGACACACAAAAAAAGAGAGAGACATGTTTTAACATAATCAGCATTACAACTGAAAAGCTTCGGCTGAAGCAAAACCTTATGAATGCCTGCCTTATCACAACTAAATTTTAAAGTTGTTATAGCTATTCTCCTTTTAATGTGAAAAACAATCTATAAATTAAAAAATTAACAGAAGAAATCTGCAAATAACACTTGGATTTATTAATAATACCATGTCAAGTTAGTATTGAGACAGACTATCTATCTATCTATCTATCTATCTATCTATCTATCTATCTATCTATCTATCTATCTATCTATCTATCTATCTATCTATCTATCTATCTATCTATCTATCTATCTATCTATCTATCTATCTATCTATCTATCTATCTATCTATCTATCTATCTATCTGTTTGTCTGTCTATCTTTTCAATAATAAACTGTTTATTTTTGGTCCTAAATATACATGTACATATATTATGTACATATTTATACATATGTATATATACATATATAACTATAAATGTATATATATCTATTTATATATATATATATATATGTATATAAATAGATATATAGTTATATTCCTTTATAATTTGGCTGTGTGACTCAGCCACCTCTCATTGTGAAAATGTGGAAAAAGCACAGATTAGTAACCCAAAGGCTGGGAAAGGATCACAGACAGTCAGTGATTCAGTGAAAGTGAATAGCTGTGACTCCTACCCATCACTATAGTGGGAAGGGAGGCTGGAAAAAGGGCAAGGAGAGGAGGAGAAGAATGAGGGAATGACTAGTGTCGGTGAAAGAGTGGAGAGAGGGAGAGGGAAAGAAGGAGGGGCTTAGAAAGTATGAACTTGTGTCTGATTTAGCTGCAGGAAGCATTAAGAAGGAAAAACAGTGCAAACAGGACGCTCAGCTTTCTCTCTCCCAGCCTGTGGACTGATTCCCTTCCCACTCCACTGAGCTGGACTTTTCCCACCGGCTCACTCTGCTCTTCTTTATTTATTGACTTTTTTCAGCTGTGCTGTGTCTCTTTGAAGACTTGTCTCTCTGTTACAGTCCGGACTTTTTACTGTAGAGGCTCGAGAAAAGAAGAAGGCGACAGCACAACAACAGGAGGACGCGGAATCGCTTTGGGAATAACCGCCTGGAGTTCATATCCCTCATAATGAAAGCTGCCTTGGAGTTCTGCTTGCTGTTCCTCACGCTGCAGTCTCCCGGCGTGCTGTCCCTGTCCACACGTAAGTTGCACACAGATGTCCATCGTCCTGCAGCGGGGGGACAGCCTCTGCTGTGAGGCTGCCTCCCAGAGACCAGCTGTGGGCACAAGTTCTGTTTGCAATCCGATTTAAAAACTAAACCTGCTGCAGAACTGCTTTACTATCTTATTGCATCACTTTTTAAATCGGGTTCAGTCTGGAAACATTAAATCTAATGCATTAAACTGATTTAAAATATAATGTAATGGAGGAATGTATTTAAAAAAATATATATTAAAATGTATTTTTATAATAAAGTTTTAGATTATAAATTCTCCAATTTGTATAATAAAAATTTAAACATTTAAAAAATTGCAACATGATCTAAGAGATTTTATCTAAAGCAGGAAAGAGTAAAATTACACAAATTACACAAATACATCCTAGTCTGGAATAAGGTTTGCAGCAGTTTAGATCTCCTTTAGATACAGGTGGAACAATACATCTAAGTTGGACTAGACCATACATGATACTGGGTTAATCAAGCGAGACCAAATGTGAGAAATCCCTGTTATTTGTTCACTCCAGCAGAATCTCTGAGTGCTGTCCCTAAATTCAACCCAGTTTGAAGTTCTACAGATGGGCTTGTTTTCAGTCTGCAAGCAGAAAAAGTGCTGGTTTGTGTTCTGAGAAAGAGGATCAAGGAAAAAATCTGTTCACTGCAGAATTATCCACTTAGATTTAGATAGACCGATACATTGGTCAGCCAATATTTTGTGCTGAACCCTGGCGTTTATTTCCTGTATCGGCCTATGTGCATTCAGCAGCCATGACTTGAGATCACATAAAGTGCATTGCTCTTGCCTTCAGCTGTTACTGTTCTGTGTAATAAATGCTTCACATATCGAGATCAGATATTTGCATTCCTTAAAAAAGCTGTTGATCTCTGATTTAAACTATAAGGGATCCAATGCAGTCATTTCTGCATGTTTAATATATTATTGATACAACTTAAAGCAGATGCTGTAGATTAGGGGTGAGTATTGGCATGGGTGTTGCAATACGTTACGTGTCACGATACTTGTTATACGATATAGCGATTAATATTGCAATTTCGCCATATATTGCGATATTTTTCCTGCTATCAAAATTAAATGAATAGATAAAAAAGCAACCTCTGTATCAGATGATATTGATCGTTCAGTTATTTTGGTATCTGTTGCTTGGGGGTTTGAGTCAGTCCACGTCTTCTACTGTGACACTTTTTTCCACACCCCTACTGTAGATCAGGCTGTTATGATGAGCAGCTCATCAATTAAAACCATTAAGATGTTAATGATCTGTTGGACCTACGAAAATTCAAATTCAGGTTTCATGTTTATTATTGCCCGCAGGATCTGTGCAAGGAAATAATGATTAGGGTGATGTCTAGAAGACTTTTAACAGGAGAGCCTTGGAACTCATCGCATAGAATAACTGACATGAAAAAGTGGAAAAAATTAAATCTGCAAATTAAAGAACGGTTGAGTGGTTCAAAGCTATAAAAATTTTGTAAATAATTATAGACATTTGCATTTTTTTTTTATAAAACGTAAATATAAACACTGAAAAATATTCTTGATTGATCCTTCTTTCACATTTTGGCTTTTATTATCCTTTCAGATTTATTCGTCTGGAGGAATAGAATAGAGAGAGTCAAATCAAAGTGATTAAAAATCTAAATCAGGCCAGCGTATGAAGAACTATTCTTATGTGTTTGTGATTAAAAACTGTTAGTCATGATATTTCGGAGTTTTAGTGTTATTGAAAACTGGACTGGAAGTTGGGTTTTTATTTTTTGATTTATTTTAGAAACAAGTAAACCTGTAAATCTGAAGCACGTTTTTCGATTATCTTAACCAGAAATCACATTGTGTTTTTTTTTTTTTATATATGGAGGCATTAAGATTAGGCCTCGTTTGAAGAGGATCTGCAGTTTTCAGGTTTGCATCACTCCGGTTTTTTTCAGGGAGATTAAAAGAACAAAAAAATCTTATGGCAGCAGGTGGAGCAACTGTTTTTTTTTCTATTGTTGCTTAGGTAATATAACAATTACTGTAATTATATGATGTTTTCTTCTTTTTATCGTGATGCAAGTCCATATTTCACACCAAAACAATTTGCAGTCAAATGTATTTGCAAACAGGGTTGTTGCCTTCTTTTTCAGCCAACTGGTCAGCAGTGTGCAGCAATTGGCGCTGATTTACTCCAGCATCTGTACAGCTGGAGAGACACTTTCCCTTTGTGTCCTACTAAACAATTGAACTTTAAACAAAGACAGAAAATGTCAGATAATAACTTTTTACAATCTTGATCAAACCTTTGATAACAATTACAACCCAGGCCTACTTGCGCCCCCTCTGACATGGACTTGTGGGTACATTTGTGTGGGGACAGAAGGGGACAAATGCAATTTCTCTGTCTGACTGCCCAGATTATTTATGTTCTCCTGCTGCAGTTGCATTTCTTGTGTCCCATGCGGAGCGAGAGCTCCCCTCCAGGGAGGCCGGATTTCAACAAGTCAGGCCATAATTCGTTTAACACATGCTAAGCATGGGGGCTTTACGGACCGCAACAAAGCGGTGACATCACTTGCTCTGGATTTAGGGGAACGCAGCAGCGCCAGCTTAATGCACAATAATGTAAATAAATCATAGTTATGTCCGGTTCAGCTGCTAAGAGGCTGGATTAGTTTTAATGGTGAGCTCACCCGCATACGGCAGCTCTTCAGCCCCCGGCCCGTTTTTAAAAGGGATAATAAAAGAAAGTCTGGATTGAGGGCTTTAAAGGGAACAACAAGCCTTTCCTTCTGCCTATTATACAACATAAATGGTCGTTAGTGTTTGACTTACCTTTATCATGGGCAATGAAACTCTTCCAAACAATCTGCTACCAAAATCAAGCTGTTTAAATGTAGATTTCGTTTTATTGCATCCCAAAGAACAAATAATTAAATAATTGCCTTAAAAAGTGTTCACTGTTAGTTATTCAACTCCCTGGATTAATGCCTCTAATATAACTGCTTTTGGGGGATGTCTTTGTCAGTTAAGCGGTTTTCTTGACTTATTACTCGCAAGTGACTGAAGTTCATGTAGAATAACCACAGATTCCAGTTAGATTTTTTTCTAGACTTTGACTGGACCATTCTAATTCACATTTGGGTTTAGATCTCCAATGTTCCGTTGAGCTCTGGCTCTATGTTGTTGCCCTCCAAAAAGTTAAACCTAAACCCCTGTCTAAAGTCTTTTCTATAATTTTTTCTGACCGACTTACCCCACAGAATGATACTGCCACCGTCAAGTTTTACATTAGAGATAAAGTATTAGGGAGGCATGGGATGTTATTTTAACACCCAGTCCAGCTCTGTCTGCTGTGTTCCCCAGTCTCCATCATGCTGGTGATGATATAGTTATTTTATCTCCTGCTGTACAAAATTGCATTACTGTGTATTAGGTTTGCATATAAACTTCTAGGGAAGCAAATATAAGCCTCAAAGTGTTCATTTAACCCCCCCATTTGTTAATTTTAAAGTTAGAAATGACATTTTCTTTCCTGTAAGAGGAAGTTAGTCAAGAAGAAATCAGATCGACTGCCTCTTTATCCTCCACATAGGCAACGTTGCATGGCTCATTGTCACCAAATGTTGCGTGACTTCCTCCAAAATCTCCAAAGGGCTCATGTGCATTGGTTGTTAAAGAGCCCAGAAGAAAGCTCTCTTTCAGCTGTTGTAAAGATGAGTGCAGCATAAAGGCTTTGGTGGTGGGAACAGTGGATGGGACGTACCTTTGAAGACCACCGCAGACTAGATTTCAGCCGCTGGAGACTTGTAATGTAGTCTTGAAACAAAAGCAAAGGCCTTTTCTCATGTCTCAGCCTGGATTCCATCGTCCATTATCACGATGTTGGACTCATCCTCAGGCGTGATGAGAACTTCCGTCTCTCCAAACAAATCATTTTTTTTTACAAGCCATTTCCTTCAGTGAACGTGTTAGGGAGAGACAATAAACAGCAGTAATTGTGTCTCGCTTTGCAGTGTTTGAACTGTGAAGTAATGGGCGTTAGCGGGCTTCACCCCCCGCTCCAGGGCAATGTCCCGTCCTCAGCGCCTGGAATACATAAACACCGATTGTTATTCAGCTGGAGCAGGGTATTACTGGCTAATCATGGCCGCCTTTAGTCCACTGTATCCAGTGACAAAGACAAACAGCCCCTTTGCATGGGTTTGTTTGTGTTCCTACGAGCATGCATGTGTGAAACTGTCGTGTCGAAGGCCTTAAGAGGCGGCGGTGATATTAACAGAGGAGTGGAGTTACTGATGAGCTGGTGTCTTCAAAGACGGCGCCGCCATAAAAGACCACACAATGTCTGTCAGCGTAAGGTGGCTGGCTGCTGAATAGACGTGGCCTCGGGCACAGATTTTGTAGTGGTCTGACAATGTTGACACTCTCACTTGCAAACTGCTCATTCATTTCCTCATAGAAACCCTCTTAGATGTGTTCATATTGCTTTCTACATTGTGATTAACCTTTTTTTTCGGTTAGAGCTTTGCAGCCTTTAGTAAATTAAATCCTTTCTTCACATCTTTTCTCCTGGATCACACCTCCTATTGCTTGGTTCACCTTTGAGATCAAAAGCTTCATTTTTTTTATTTTTGCAACTATAATAATATGGGATTGCCAATTTTGCTGTCTATTCCTTTAAAATGTATTCCTGTACTGAAAAATCAGAAACAAAAAAGGAATTAAACTTTCTATTTTCATTTTTCTTTGGTGCATCTCAGGTTTTCTTTTTCTTAGCTCCTCATGTGATTCACCTTTTTTAAATTTTGGAATTCACCTGTACTAAATTTTAGAAAATAAATGCATTGTGCATTAATTACAACTACATTTTTTTTATATACCAAAGCTGTTATGCCCAATTCTGTCTCTTCTGTAAGCTTTTTGACAGAAGTGAGAGAAATTTAATATATCCAAATATTTCCCCAACTGATGAAATTCCTTTATAAATATGTTATAAGCATAGTTTCTCTGTTTTGATTGGACGTGTTGATGAATAGGCTAGTGAGATCTTTTGGTGCCTTTTCTGTTAATCGTGAGCAGAAAAGACTTTAACAAACATGTTTTTGCTTCTAAAAATTTTTTATTTGTGTTGCAAGAAGTAAAATTTAAATGACTAGTGTTTAAAGTCTCTTGCACACTGGTAGGGACCAGTGTACACTGCAGATCAGGTGCAACGGGAAACTGCAGCAGCAAGTTTGAAGACTCTTTAAAGGGTGAAAACAAAAACATAAGTTGTATATTGTACAGAAAATGCCAATTCTTCAGTTTAAATTAAATGAATTAATTGTGTACCAGTTGTATGATATTCTGTGCCATTAGGGCAACCGTCTAAATTGGGGTCGGACATGAAATCACAGACAGGATTGTAAAGAGGTGGAGACTTTACAGTGAATTTGCTATTTATTTTAGTTTTTAACTTACCTTGAGAGGTTGAGCTTGTGAAGAGCTTTTAGAAAGATTTAAATTTGGAAATGTATCATTGAAATGATGGGAGTTAATAGGAGTTAGTCAACCAAACTATATCCTCTGAGCATCTATATGAACAAAATTTTGTGTTATACAGGTGTGATATCAAACATATTTAACAATATAACAAGGAACATTCTGCTTAATGTAGTTTATAGGTTCAGATATTTTTCTTTATTTGTTTTATGCACTGAAATTATGGGTATGTAACCCTTGGTTCTAGAAATGCACTGAAAAAATTGCGAAATGATGTAGGCATCTTGGCCTGAAACAAACCAGATGCATGTGTATGCCGTTTGCATGGATGCACTGAGGTGCACCTTGACAAAAATAGAATGTACACTAGTTTATGGTAAAATACAGTCTCCCCAGTTATATTTGAAATTCCTATTATTGCTCAATCTTTTATTTATTTTTTAGGTTTCAGGTTGGTTTTTATTGATTTTCATCCATTTTTGAAAATTCTCAAAGGTGTCTTTTTGTTAAAAGGGCAGTTTAAACACTTTTCAACCTTCCAAAAGGTCTTCATTTTGCAAGCTTGCAGACAGTAGATTGGCAAGAAATGTCAGAACTTGAGCTTGGTCATGGGGTCCTTGATCGATCATTTAAAAATGACACCAAGTAGATAATCAGGTATAAAAAAGATTGTTTTATGTAATTCAATTTAAATTATGCACGGTGTTCATCTGGAAGCCTCTTGTACAAAATGTTCGCAAATGGAAGGGACAATCTTCGAGCTTATTCAGTACCAGCCTTTTTTAGCCAATCACAGCCGCAGTAGCAGCTGTGATGTATCACATTCATGATTTGCTTTACAGCTGGGGGGTTAACTGATAAATCAAACTCTTACCAAATCCAGTCAGGAGGAACATGCAAACATCTTCCCATTGACAAAGGCTCAAATTTTGCTCATTTTATGAAAAGAAATGGAGGGTATTCCAGCCAAAAACCGTGCAGCCATCTTATTTTTACTTCATCCTATCCCCTCTTTTTCACACCGTGACGTCACACACATCACTGCATTTCATTAGTCCGAAACATTTCTGCATCGAGGCTAACAAATCTGGTGGCCGCTGACTGGCTGGCATGATATATTTTTGTGAGTTTGTCAATTCACAAAGCTCTTGCTTACAGGGGTTACCAAGCAGATACAACATCCAAATGTGGTTTTATGGTTCTTTTTGCCATATTTATTTATTTTTTAAATTATACTGGCAAGCACCAAGTTATGTCAAAGTCTGATTTATTTTGGTCTAGATGCACATTTGGTAGTAGTAGTGAAATGTTTACTATAGAAAAGAGGATATATTTTTTCTTTTGCTTACAGATCTGACAAAAAATAATGATGTTCACTTTTACAAATTAGACAATAATGAGCCCAAACACAAAAAGATTTAGAGTTTTTTTAGAGACATGGTGCATTTCCATGGTTGATTCCCAGGGAACAGTGGGACATTCTTTAATTGTCATTTAGCTTGAAGTTAGTCGACGTGTCCAAACTTGAGAAGTGTGGACAAGGTGTTAATGGTATTTCAGGCGACTGTGTAAACTCTCTCTGCAGACCAGGCTTATCTACATTCAACATGAGGGGAAAAACACGAACAGAACCTTAAAACAGAGGACCAGAATTCATTAAGATTAGGATTTGTTTGTGTATCTCTGACAGCAGAATCTCCCAGTCTTTCCAGATCCCTCTCAAAAAATACATTTTAGACGTTAGTCAGGTTTTATCTGCTTAAATAAGGGTTATTATTAATATAAGGCGCCCTGGCTTGAGTTTAGTGAGTGCATTCCTGTAGACCGTCCAGGATATGTGGACAACAGTCAGAATATATTTTCTATTAGTAGGCTTGTAATCGCAGTCCAGATCTTTCTGTGGTTTAGGGCCTCGGCTCCTGCTGGTATTTGTGGCCAAACTTGGTTGTAAAACTAAAACGTGCTTATAAGACAATGCTAGGCTTTACAAAACAGACAAGGCCTTGCATTTCCATTCCTGCATAAAATGTTCAGCAGAGTAAGACTAAAATTTACTTTTTGTATCCACATGCTGCACACAAGATTCAGATTAATGTTCACCTTAATCAGACCAAACCAGCAGACTTAACCCTTAATATTAGATCACTGAAGTCAGGCTAACAACAAAAAGCAAACTACGTTGTACTATGCATGTTCTGACCAGAAAAACACTTTAATGAAAAAAGCAATAAGTAATTTTAAAGCCATGCCCAACTACCAGCCTCCTTCTCAGAACACCACACTGGGGGCATATTTCCTTTATCAGAGCCATGAACTTGCTGCCTGCTCAGCATTTCGACCTGATCCTTTATAACATTGCAGCAGGTAAGAATAGCAACCCTTAAGTCACTGAACCTACAAACCATGAAGCCGTCTTCCTGGTTCAGCTTTACAAGATTTAAGAAACCCATTTCACTGATACAGGAGTAAAGATGGGATTTAAGGTGGAATCATAGGATGCAGGTGTGAAAATGAAATGCGGCCACCTACCGTTTCTCTAAAAAAAAAAAAAAAAAGGGTTAAAGCAGAAAACTTTCACATAATATTGATCTCACATTGGAGAAATGTATGTGCTGCCATTGTGCGGCGCACGGGGAGCAGTATAGGGTTAAGGGTCTCGCTCAGGAACCCAGAGTGCAGGTTATGGCGATCGAACCGGGTACTTGCAAGCTTCCCAGAGCCACAATGAACTGCTTTAACCCACTCACCCACTACTCCCCTGTGGCTTAGTGGATTACTATAATATCAACAGCGAATGATCCAACATCTCGTAGCTTTGCTACTAGTCCTATTGGTGAGTGTATAATGGATCAGTTTGTGCACTGTTTTAAAGTCTAGGCACAAAGCCACCAATTGTAAAGGTTAATCGTGCACTATAGAGATAAAACAATCATGAAAGGAAGTTATATGAGCGTTTAGACAATATGCCTCATCACTTTAATTTGTGGATTTGCTTTAAGCAGGGTAAACCCCTAGTTATGCTACTTTTAACTTTGAGGACAAGGACTTTCAATGGGTATTAATAACTGTGTCAACGAAGGAATTAACAATTTAAGTAAAACAATATGGCATCGTCTTCTGTTGTTTCTCCTAATTAACATTCCCTTGTGAGCAGAATCTATTTCCATGTCTACCTGTGGGTTAATAATGGCCTGAAAGGTTGAATTTATAGAATTAGAGTTTAAACAATCATCAGCTTCTAGGCTAACTAGAGGCAAACTAAAAGAGCCCGAAAATCATTTCCCAGCACTTTCTCTGATTGAAAGGATGTTATAAGAAATTGACTGTATGGAAGTAATTTTTGTATATAAATGGTTATTCGTTCCTTCGTTTTCACCCTCACCTACAGTTTATATCACCCACTCTTGGGTCCAAACCTGTTATCCTCCTAGCATATACCAAAGCCATTAAATGGCCTCTGTCTTCCAGATGTAGCAGTTGTTTACCCCCAGGACCCTGTGCTTCGCATGGGGTCCAACCTGACCGCCAGCTGCTGGGTCCACCCTGACCTCGGGGTCCACGCCAACTCTCTTTTCTGGACGCTGAACGGTCATCAGCTTCCAAGCTCCCTCTACAAGGTGCTCAGCCCGTCCAATCTGAGCGTGACGCTGGTTGGGCTAAACGCCTCCAGGCAAACCTCCGGCGACAACCTGGTCTGCCACAACCATAAAGGGCACATACTGGCCGGCTCCTGTCTGTATGTTGGGAGTAAGTTAAAGCTTTAAAACATTCAACTTTTCGATACTTCTGCAGATGTATTTCTTTTTAAATGTTTGTTAGATAAAATAAATAGGCAATTACTGTTTGGAGGAATACACAGAAGAAAAGGGGGGGGGAAAAGGAAATGGGAATTAAGGGAGAGCAAGGAAGTGGTGGGTAGATTTTTAAGTGTCCCTGCACAGTTGAAGTTGTATTTTATCCATTTTATTACCACCTTCAGACCCCATAAGAGGCCTCAGTGATGCTTTGACCATCTGTGTGGTCCTTGGCTATTGCTGTAGAGGCTTGACACTTTACACGCAGGGAATAAAAGCATTTCTACTTTGAAATCTTGTGAGGAAGCATTTTATAGCTTTTTTTTCTCCCTGTACTTCACCTCAATTTTCTAAGAAATATGTTTTAAGAGGTCTAACATTGAATGAATACCCCGTCAATATCTTGGCATTAAAAGCACAGGATGATGGAAGTAGTAGCCAGCTTCGAGAAGCAACATATATGTCATTTTTATTACAAAAATTAGATGAGAAAAATAATCAATTACAAGATTTGGTTGGAAAAAAATCCCAGATTAGATTTTTAAGCTGCACTACCGAGCCCTGCCTCATAGTGACATTAATAATGATAAATAGTTATATACTTGTAAGAAATTAAAAGTACCCACTTGTTCCAGATCCATAGTTGAGGGAATATTATACAGTTTAATTGCAGTTCTTATTTTTAAAAAACAATTCATCCCTTTGCTATTTATCTTCTCCTTTTAAATCCACATGTGGTCCTCCCCTGCTAACACTCTGTATCTTTGAACAAACCTTTGATGGAGCCATATTTTGGATATAATCTTGACCTTTAAATAATTGTAATTCTGTCCCTCATCTACCCTAAGAATAACTCTGCCCACCCTCCTACTGGTGTTTGAAATCCTCATGTAGCCACATTTCCTGACCAAAAATGTTCAAACTATCAATTCGATAGTTTTGCATTTTGCGACGGGGAACAAGGTTTTCTATTTGATTTTTGACAATATAGCAATAGTCTACAGTAAAGAAATGTTCCGTTATTTTTAGTTTTTGTGCTCCTATATGTCCCTCCAACAGGAAGGTGCAACATAAAGTCATCTTTTCTTTGCCTTGAAAAGCAAGAAACTGACAAATGCTTTAAATGCATGGTTGCAAATTGTATATTTTATGTTTTCATGACTAAAATATTTAAATAAGTTTTTGATTGTTTTCAATTTATGTAAAAATTCAGGTTGTAATGAGCTTCTTTTCTAAGTGAAACCTAAGGACATTGATTGTATTTCCTTTTAAATAAATGCACCTGGATTACCTCTTCTTAGAGGTCTCCTCATTGATATTTATAGTGGACAGTTCAATTCAGTTTATTTATACTGCGCCAATTCGAAAGATATTTCATCTCAAGGCATTTACAGTTCACCAAATCATACAGTCAAATTGATTCAAAGTTTTCTATCTAAGGAAAAAAAGGTTGATTGCATCGACTTATTGACTCAAACGCAATCCCTCACAGTAAGCTTGCTTGTAGCGACAGTGGAGAGGAAAAACTCCCTTTTAACAGGAAGAAACCTCCAGCAGAGCTAGGCTCAGTGTGAGCAGCCATCTGCAGAGGCCGACTGGGGTTCAAGGAGACAGAAGCAGAGATACAAAAAGCAACTGTAAAAGGAGGTCCGGTCCAGGAAACACACAGCCAGGCAGACGAGCTCCGAGCCAGCTCCCATGTCAGAGGATGAAGAGAGCACATCCAGCCAGTCACAGTCAGAGAAACAGGACTACACTGAAAAACAGGCCAATCTCCAACATCTATAAACAAAGGTGTTGATGGCAGAAGCACAGCGGATATTTCTCTCCAGGGTGGTGTCACAGCCAAACAGGAACAGACGAGGCAAAGCTACTATGAGAAAAAGAAGAGAGAGCATAACGTTAGAGATTGAACTAACATTTTCTGCAGAGTGGGAGAACAGAGAGAGAATGATGACAAAGAGGTCCCTATGTCTGAAAACTGATACTTGGTTTCACAGGAGAGGAGCCTGATAACAAAAAGATCTTCCTCCTATTCTACTTTTAGACCTGCAGATTGAGAGTGAAGTGCTCTGTTAGGGACATAAGGAACAATCAGATCTCTGATATAAGATGGAGCTTGGTCATTTAAGGCTTTATATGTGAGGAGGAGGATTTTAAATTCTATTCAATATTGTGGATATATTTTCACCACTGTAGTCAGTGGTTGTTTTCCTCAGAGGGGCGGGGATCACACAACTAAAACCACAAAGAGGTATCTGCTGGCATTTTCCATCACATTTACTGTGTCAGTGAAACTGGTTCTGAGGAAGTCTCCGTGTTCTTCAGAGAAACAGACCATAAATATGACCTGGGTGCTGCACACATATCCACACATAGGAGAAAGAAGACAAAACCTTTTATTTCTGTTATTCAGTAAAAGTTTAAAAAACAATCCAGTGGACTTGGTTTCCAAGATTTGAAGACGTTTTGCTTCCCCTCCAGGAAGCTTTCTCAATTTCTTTTCTCAATTCTTTTATTTCTGATGTTTAGTCGTAGGAATGACAGGAGTTAAATTTCCCTTCTCACTGATGTTTTCAGATCTTGATTCCTTTGTTTCATCCCTTGTTTATAACTCAACGTGTCCCGCTGTTTTCCTGTTTCCTTTCTCGCTTTTTTCCCAGTGCCTCCAGAGAAACCAGTCAATCTGACCTGCTGGTCCCGGAACACCAAAGACCTGACATGCAGCTGGAGCCCTGGTGGAAAAGGAGAGACTAATATCAGCACACAGTACAAGCTTAAGTACAAACTCAGGTGCAAAGACATCCACACAATGATTTGACGCTAGGAGAAAACTGTCAAAAATGATTTAACTTGAAAGCTGCAAACCAAATGTAGCTAAAGTCCATTTGGGTCGACCTGGCTCTCCCCTCAGGTGGTACGGAACCGAGAAGGAGTGTAAGGATTACAGCCACACCCAGCCGTACTCCTGCAGCATCACCCAGGACCTGCACCTCTTCACTCCGTATGAGATCTGGGTGGAGGCCTCCAACCAGCTGGGCCGGGCCACCTCTGATGTCATCATCCTTGACATCCTAGATGTGGGTGAGTGGGAGAAGAGACATTGGCTCCTTCAGCTTAAAACCTGGTTCTTTTTTGATCTTTTGATTTACAGGAATTACATTTTTAATTAGTGGGTAAATCTTAATTAATTTAGGGGGATTATGACGGTTAATTGTCTCACTGAAAGTAGCCTCTTAGCCTTAGGAGAGTAATACGCACTAAAGTGCTTTATGGCTCCAAGCAATCCTAAATCTCCTGTTAACACCTGCCGCATTTTTTAAAATCATTAAAAAACCCACTTTAATGGTTTATTACTTGTACTGAACAGATCCTAATTAGCCTGCAGAGCTTGTATGCAGCCAGTTTGACAGTTTCCCCTCCCTAACCTTGCCCAAGCAGCACAGCGGCTCCCTTTTTTTTTAAAGCCGAGAAATAAAACATGGTTTTTAACTAATGCGCCTCTTCACATAATTGTTGAAGTGAAAGATGTGTGATGATGAAATTTGCCTAAAGCACTTTTTTCTCCATCAGACTTTCAGTGGAATATGAACAAGTGCTCTCATTTGACATTTAACTGCCTGAAAAGCTAACAGCATGTCTGCTCTACGTTAATCCAGACTCTCATCAATGAAGCCTTTTAGGATAAAAAAATAACGTCTCTTACGATGTGGTTGCTGACAGAGCTAAGTTAAAGCTTATTTTTGTTCTCAAAGGGTGTCCATGCCTGTTGAAGTGGTGGGACGGTGTTGGCCCAAAGCTTTTAGTTATGTTTAGTCACTCACACTGGGGTTGAACCGATTGTAGTTTTCTGAACAATAAGAGATCTTCAAAAAGCCTGATCTGCAGATTCCAGTTTTCTTTGACATCTGACACTGTCAGGTGTTATTGGGTCAAAATACACCTTTTATATTCGAGTTTTATACCATTGAAAAAGATAGAGATATACCCGGAAAACAAGCTTCTATTAGCGGCACATGAGGCAGTTCTCCTAGCTGTAAATGAAAAGTCAAGAGAAATGACAGTGGCTGATTTTCAGACCTTTGTAGAGTGGTGCATAAAATCAGTTTTAAATGTATCAGCTTATTGCTCTTGGTCCAGAATTAAAGGAAATTGATAAGGAAACTAATTCGAGAGTTGGAAAAATCACAGATTCATAGCTAACAACCTTTACTTAAACTGGGTCTTGAGCATTTAGATTAGGGCTGAAACAATTGATCTGATTAATTGTGATTAATGGCTTATTTAAATAATCTAATTTATTAATTGATTAATCGTTAACTGGAGTATAGAGACTGTAAAATATGCCTTTAACTGACACAGTGACCCACTGAGAGCAGTAATTATATTAAAATTGTAAAAAAAAAAAAAAGAAATATTTTGCATTTAAGATGAAAAAATATTTTTTGTCTGTCAATATGCTCTATCCAGAACTCCTAAAGTGGAATCGTTTTAGTTTCACCTGGTTTAATTTCATACGAAATGTTCTTTTAGGAACTTTTGGCTATCTAATTGTTAATTGATAATAAGAAAAAAAATAGATAAATGGATTTGTTAAAGAATAATTAGTTGCAGCCCAAATTTAGATCAATTGCAGTCATTTTATTTTTTTTTGTTTAATGCCATATTTGTAAGACATGCTAATCCCCCCCCCCACGCACACACACACACACACACACACACACAAAACAAGAACTTCAAAGATAATCACCACGTCTTTATCAAAGTATGTATTTCTAACTTTTATGTGAACTCAGATAATGTGGTTAACGTAACTGCTGCTGGTTGATGCATTTATGGACTGAAAAAGATGGGAGTTTTTAGTTTTCATAGATTTAAAAATAGTAAAAAAACGATTACTGCTAAGAGCAATATGCTGGTAAAGATTCCCAGCAATCCAGGTCATAGTCAATCCAAAGAAAGTTTAAAAAATCAATGAACTAGAGTTTGTTTCCAAGTTTGAAAAAAGGTTTCACTTCCCATCAAGGAAGCTTTATTAATAAAAAACAACAAAAAAAGGAAAATTAAAATGATTTGAAAAAGCTTCAGGAGTGATGAGGAGTGTCTCCTTACAGGAGTGTCTTTCTCATTATGAACAGAAACTTGGAGAATCTTTCCTTTGGGTCAGGTCGGATTTATAACTCAGAAGGCTTACAACTAAAAGTCTCTCAGAGATATTGGTTAGGAGTGGTCACATCCACCTCATTTCTAACATTGTCAAGTTAAAATATGCACCTTTTTAGTTTTTGGTGTGGAATTATGCTAAAGCTATTTCTTTTAAACCTCTTAAGTTCTAATAATTGTGAGGGCATAATTTATATGTATTAATTTATATTTCATCAACTCTTCTTTAATATAAAAAAGAAAGGTAAAAAAGTGCAAATAAATTCAGTTGCTCAAATTTGAGCCAAACCAGCAACATGTTGGGGAGCATTCATTTACATCACCTCTTGATCTGATTTCGTGCTTGAAAAAGCCTTCCAAAAGCAGGCCATTAAACGCATCTCCATGGCTGCAGCATGGCAAAGACTTTCTCTAAGTATTCATCTGACTTCATACTGATAGGAACTGATTGGAATTACCTTTTAAAGCTATGTTCTGGGGTCCGTTGCTCAGCTTAAAGGAGTTAAGGAGCGCGTAATGAGATCAAATGCTCTCACTGTGCCAGACATACACTCCGACCTGGACATTCATACTGTTGCTTTGACTCTCGGGTTCATCCTCATTGTAAAGCGCCCTAAGATGACTTTTGTTGTGTGCTGGCTTTGAACTCAATTCAAAGCAGCTTCTCTTCTGACAAGCTCATTTTCTCTTTACTCATGCTTAGTGGACATAAACACAGAGAAACACTCACGCACCCACTCACACACAGAGAGACTGATGGAATGTTCCATGCTGATCCTCGAACCTAATCCTGTCTCCAAGGCAGCTGCAGACCCCGAGGCCCGAGCAACCCGGCCTTTGAGGCTTTAAGACTTGGACCTGAAATAATACAAGCTGATAAGCTTGGAATTCCTCACCTTGTTGGCTTCTGGAACGCTCTGAACTCTTCTGGGAAAATGTCCTGGAAGAATACAGAGTTTCTGGGCTGGATATGCCAGAGGCAGGAAGCAAGCGTCCATCATACTTTAATCCTATTGTTTTTATTAATGTATGCAGGCACACACCTGTTTGCATGCCTCAAGGGCAGGGCAGGGCCTTGCCTACAAAAAAAAACAGAGGGGCATCCGGGGAGTGGGCGTTTTTCAGTTTTTTTTCTCAATTCATGTGAGTAGGTGGTGTGTTTGGGGCTTTTTCTCGTGTCTCCCTCACCCAGCCTTTGCTTTCATTCAAGTGTCTTCCACAACAGAAAGCGGGTCATAAAGAAGCCACACCTGTGCCGAGGTGGGATGAGTCACTCACACCTACAGTCGGGTCCAATCAGTCCTGAAGGCGAGGTGGAAACTCCTACGGGTTTCCCGCATTCCTCAGCCGAAGGGAGATCGAGAATCACGGAGGAGGCTAGAGGAAACTTGTAGACGTATGACTTGGAGATGATGACGTTTTGCGGGGTGACACAACATATACAAACACTGATTCATCACCAGTGTGTCATGTCTTAAGTATCTGCATTTACACTGAAATCTGTGAAGTTTAGCTTTTCTGCTTTTGATGGCTGTGCGTTACCATGCTACGGCAAACATACGTAGATTTTACGGTTTCGATTTTAAAATGAGCTTTAAGAAATCGTTATGTTCATGTCTCACGTCATGGAAGCTGTAATTATTGGTTCTTATGAGCCTCCGTCATCCAGAAACAGCTCCAGTTTAAAAAACACCAGAGCAGTTTTTATGAACAAAATTCATTAATCTGCTAACAATTTTCCTTTTACATTAAGCAGTTTTTTCGGTCACTGATTAACGACACAAGAAAATGAGGTTGGAGGCTGTGCGCTGCCATTAATGATCCTCCAGAAAGAAGCTAAATGTCTGATTTTTAATTTAAGGAGATGGACTAAAAAATATCTATGGTGGTAGATAAAGTAAAAACTTTAGTTGCTTTTAAACTACCCTAAATACATTTATATTAAGGAGATCTCTGGCTGATAAGACTTAACTGATGTCTGTGTTTCACATAGGAAGATTATTGGTGGTGCACCACATGTTGACTCTTTCTCTCAGGTTGGTCAACATTTATAAATCGAACAGTTTTTTTTAAATTATTTCTATTCATTTTAAACAAACAAAAATCTTCCACTATTTTTTTTTTTTGGTCCATAAATGCATCAACTAGCAGCTTGAACTTGGGGTTCCATAAATAAGAGACATTGGTCTGAAACTCACAGTCCTGGGAAAAATTTAGAAAACCTCATGAAAGTGAGCGTTTTTGTCATCTTGAAAAATAAGTTCCACATATGGATATTAAAATAATCATAAGAATAAAAAAAAGTGTAATATAAATAAATCATAAAAGGTGTTGAAAAACTGAATTAGGACACCCCTTCATTTACTAAACCTACACATAGGTGAATCACATCAGCTTCCCATGATGTAAGTAACATTATTCTGCCCTCTGAAACAGGCTCTGTTTATACCTGAGACAATTGTTTGTTTGTGCTCCAAGTGAGAGTGGGCAGCAGGGAGATATAAACGGGTCTCTGAGGTCCATAGAGAAAAAGTCATAGTAGCTCCTGCATCTGGAAAAAGTTTAAACCCTTAAAAGCCTTGACTATGAATTTATTTTCACAAAATTCCACTTTTTTAAACTAAAGCTGTCATTTAAGTTTCTAACAAAAGAAAAAAGATGCTATAAATTAAATTACATTATATAATTTATATGATTATAATTTGTAATACAATGCAAATTTCTGTATAATCTTGTATAGATTTGCAAGATTTTTATAGATTTGTTCACTATATGTTCCTGAATGTTTAAGTCGGGGCGTTCAAGAACAAAACAATCACGCTGACAGTGCAGAGGTTACAAAAACTAATATAACAACAAATATGATGCACTTGGTTTTAAAGGGTTAACCTAGGCTAAAAAGAGCTAAAATAAAAAAACTCTTAATTTCTACTGTATTAAAAACATGTCTACAAATTGCAATAAAAAAACTCCCTATTGCAGACTGAAAGATTCTGGAAAAAAATGTCAGCTAAGGATCCATACCAGGTAAGGCTCTAGTCAAAGTGTGCAGACTGCACAAATTTAACTTTCATTGAAGGTGTTCAATATGAAAAATGAAGGTCAGAATAAAGTTGCTCATAGAGGACATAATCAAAGACCAGACTCATCTGGTTACAGAAATGTGTGGCGATAACTAAATACAACATTCCAGGAAAAGAACCTCATCAAATATTAAGCGTAGAGCCGGTAGGGTGTCGTGGTTCGGGAATGCCTCGCATTTTAGCCAGCAGAACTTTGCCAGCTTACTTTTGGTCATTGAGGTAAAACTCAATCAGTTTTTGTTTTGTGAAAGGGATAAATAATTAGATATTAAGATGCAATCATTTTCATTCAGTGAGGATTTAAAAAAAAACTATTTCTTATGACTTTGAACGTGGATTATCTTGCAAAACATTGACTTTCTGTGGATTAAAAACCACTTTGTCTTTTAGTTGACTTACAGCACATTTGTTTGCTTAGAAAAAATTATTGGTGAAAATGGAAATGGTCAGGTTGGAGTTCATACAAACCTTTTGCATCATCTTTATTGATAACTATTTAACACAACCTTACTTTAAAGAAAATACAGTTGAATTTCGACATTTGGTACAAAGATGCAGCTCCAATTATCTGCCATTTCCACAAAGGAGGAATACATTTTTTTTTATTTAGAAACACACGTGTGCAGCATTAAATTGCATAAGATCAAGCTTGACAAAAGCTCTGCAAAGCTTCATTCTGTTCTTTTTTCTTTAAAAAAAAACACTGACAGCAAATCTCACTGTCGGAACTGTTGGGGTTTGTTTACTTGTAGGGAATGACATCCTAAAAGAGAACCGATCTTCATATTAAAACAAGCTCTAAGGCCCAAACCTAAATAGTGGGCTGTCACTGAGTGCTTATTTTTCAAAGAGATAATTACTGTCAGATGATAAAAAGTCTCACACAAGTCATCGGAAACTAGAAGACAACCAGAGAGGGTAAGATTTTGTGCTGCATTACATAAAAACACGACTCTTACACATTTAAACTTTGACTGAAAATTACAAGGGGTGAAACTCTGAGGATTTACAGCAGTTTTATCTCGATAATTGATTTCAGTTCATTCAGAAAATAGAGGAAGGTTCCTGCATCGGCTGCTACGCTAAAACTGAACACATTTAAGATGCGTGCAAGGCGTATGCCCTGACTTTGAGAAAATTCTTGCATGCTTAAGGCTATCCAGTTGTTAAGAACATATGTCTGTGGAAAAAAACATTCAAAGTGAAAAGTGACTGACTATATTTTTGTCTTAAAATTAAATTTTGGAGATAGAAAAAGGTTCCCATGAAACACAATGCATATATATATATATATATATATATATATATATATATATATATATATATATATATATATATATATATATATATATATATATATATATATATATATATATATATATATATAAAATTAGTGTAGTTGAGGGGTTTGTTGTTGGAACTGTGTCTGGTTTGGAAAATCCCACTTCCATTGTCTCAATGAAATGTGTCCAAAAGCATATTTTCTAAATTCACACAAACTGGGATTAATATAATAAATATTTGTGTTATTTCACTGTTAAGCTGAGATATAGTTTCTGTGATTCATCAGATTTAGGTAAAACTGATTGAATCAATAAACTGTATAAATAAAGACATAAAATCATCCGATTTTCATGGATCAGCTTGAGCACTCTACTGGTTCTGCCTTTATTGTCGTGGTTCAGTTTAATTTGGTTCAGCCTGTCGAAGTCAATCAATAGCCTGTTGCTGCAGCCGTTTAAAAACATATACTGGAGAGAGGAAATGAAATAACCACTGACCCAATGAGCTCCCCTCAGTGTCTTCTTCAGGGCTTTTTGGGCTGTGACTCTGCAGGATTTTTCCTCATTTTAGGTGAAATAAAGAAATATTTTAAATAATCCTTCTTCTTCTCCCCTGGCAGTGACCACAGACCCTCCGTCAGGCGTCACCGTCAGCCGTGTTGGTCAGTTGGAGGACCAGCTCAGTGTTCGCTGGGAGGCGCCGCCAGCTCTCAAAGACTTCCTGTTCAAGGCAAAATACCAGATCCGCTACAGGCTGGAGGAGAGTCAAGACTGGAAGGTAGATGTTATGTTGCTTTGTGTAATAAAGAAAAGTTTTTTTTTACAATAGACACCAATACAAAGGTTTACAGTGTTTACAGCACAGAAATGTAAATATGAAGTTTTATTTTAAAATAAGTATATTTTTCCTTAAGTGAACAGGTGAGATACTTTCTCAATGGATGTTTAGGATAAAAAAACAAAGAATTTCTTTATCTTATTTCAAGTAGAGATGCACCAATCGTGATTTTGGGAGCCGATCACCAAAATCGGTATCGGCCGATCCCAATATTGCTGATCACCAATCAATACATTCTTTAAAAGAGATTTCATTATTAAGAATAAAGATTAGGAGATAAGAAAGTATCATGAATTTAAAACTTTTTTAAGTGAAGGAGGCTGTAGAGACAAGCTTTTTTAATCAAAATGGAAGACAGAAAATGATGAATGAATTCAGAGAATGGGCTGCTCAATGGCGCTGTGGGTAGCACTGCTGCCTTGCAGCAAAAAGGTTTCTGGGTTTGAATCCCGGCCCAGGGTCTTTCTGCATGGAGTTTGCATGTTCTCCCTTAGCATGCTTGGGTTCTCTCCGGGTACTCCGGCTTCCTCCCACAGTCCAAAAACATGACTGGCGACCTGTGCAAGGTGTACCCCACCTCTTGCCCATTCACTGCTGGAGATAGGCACCAGCACCCCTCGCGACCCCTATTGGGACAAGCGTGTCAGATAATGGATGGATGGATGACTTCAGAGAATACTCTAAAGAAGTTTTTCGTGGCTTTTGAGGAGCCTTTTTAATTTTAGCCCTAGAAGGACTGTTTCATCATCCTACATCCAGTGCATACATTGGCCAGTCACGCCTCTCCTGCACTCTGGTGCTCTGTCTACCCAGTGGGCTTCTCCCTATACTGCTGTGCTCCTCTGATCTGCCCCTGTGGTTCCTTAGCTCCGGGGGGGCATCCTGGTCCTGGTTCTCTCTCTGTCGGTGCTTTGTCACCAATTTCCTGCTGCTACTGTTGTCCGGGTAATTCATCTGAATCATCTGAATCGCAGAACGCCAGGACCCTGAACCAAGACACAGGTGGTGGTATTCTTCATATAGGTTCCAAGGTACCTTTGGTGTACCTACCTTTTTTCCCATCACATAAAAGACTGATTAACACAAGCAACTATTATGATGAAAAACGTTAGTGTTCTCTCTACCTTAAAACCCTTTATATGTTAAATGTTTTAGATTTTTAATTTGGGGTTTTTAGTAATGCTGTTCCATTTTCTCCTTTCCTACTTCCATTTCGTTCATGTAAACGCATCATTCCATGCTAACATAGCCAAACACTGGTGAATCCACTGTTTATTGCAGTATTTAAGGATTTACATTAATTATTATTTATGTAAATAGTTTTTTAAAATACTCATGTATACTTTTATTCCTGTAAACTAATAATTTAGGCACTTATAAAAAAAATTTCATAGCAGCAAATTGATGCTGAAACTAGAACAGTATAAAAATAAAGGAAAATGTTCACATAATATTTATTTGATGAACTTAATCCCCAAAATCCTAAACCTTTGGGTTTCTCTGTGCAGAAACATCTTGAATGTAATTAACATGATTCATAATATATTCATGTGCATCTGGAGTAGAAGTAAATACTCTAATATTTATCTTTCTGTATGCCAAAAAATAATCAGATTAAAGAGAAATTTCCACACATACTGAATAAACTAAAGGATGTCTTCTTTTTAAGGTGAGGCAACAGTGTGAGCTGCACACATTTTTGTGCCCCAACTGCAGAATTTTTAATACTAAAAAAAATGGATGTAAACAGGCCTTCTATGTGACGGTAATACAGCTTCAAAAAGTCTGTCATGCAGATGGTTTTTCAGAGAAATCATTTTCCTGAGGATAGAGGGGAAGATTCTCCTGTAATTAGGGAGGAATTACACCGCTGTAATATGATCAAGTCCATACTTGCAAAGTGGAAATGTTCAAAAAGACGACGAGAAGGAGGAGTGGAAAGGTGCGGCGCAATGCGGCGGCGGGGGGGGGGGGGGGGGGGGGGGGATACCGTAGGAGAGAGGAGAGAGGAGAGGCCTCAATCCAAGTGGCTTGAAGGGTCGACGGTGGAAACAAAGCGCCTCTGAAGCGCCCCTAATCATGAGGTCATGCTGCGGAGTGTGTATGTGTGTGTGTGGGGGATACATCTCAGCTGTTAATCTGTTCAATATGGCTGCAGAGACGCTCAGCTGTAACTTCTGCCTAGTTGGCTGCCTGTGCATCACATCATTAGCTCTGTGATGCCTGTAATTTACATGTTCTGCTTTCTGTTGGAGTTCTCCTTAACAAGTGTTTACAGACAGGATGCCAGAGAGAAAGTGGGGGATTATTAGAGCAGATTATTAACTGCAGTGTGTGTGAATGTGTGTGTGCTTCATTCTCCTCTGTTTTGAACAGTTTCGCTGTTTTCAGGTCTTGTCTGTGAAAGTACCTGTTTCTCTGAATGTGTGTGTGTGTTTTAGTGTATTTGAATCTGTAATAAATAATAGGGAACAGATTTTAGCCAGCAGGCACAGCTACGTTAAAATACTTCCATAAACATGCTGATCAGGAGCCACTAAACAATGTGGTGCACATGCATGTTTTGGTCTTTACATGGTTTGCGGTTCTTTTTAGTTTATGCCCATTGGTATTTAATACTGTGGTCGGACCTCCGGCGCTCAGCCTTTCTGTGTTTGTGCCTTTTCTTTGCTGCCTAGGTGATGAATGATGTCGGGAATCAGACGTCGTGCAGACTGGCGGGGCTGAGAGCCGGAACGGTGTATTTTGTCCAGGTATGGCGACCTTGCAGCTAAGTGTCAATGAACTGGGCGCCAAAAGGCTACTCATCATCTATGTAAAAAAAAAAAAAAAAAAGACTAAACAAATTGATACAGTGATGAATGATTTCTGAACTTTCCCGGTCATTGTAATGTATATCCTGTATAATTTAACTAAAGAGTGTTTGAGGGGAGGAAGACTTCAGTCTATATGGTAGAATCTCTCTTCATGAGGTAATATTTGCCTGCTTCTATTTGCTCTATGAGTTATAAACAGCCCTATCCAAATGGCCCCACATCTGTCCTGTCAGATTTAATTCTAGGTTGAGACAGTCAGAATATTGTGATCTGCTTCTTTCTTTGTTGATGTGGATGAGCGCTCAGAATCACTGTGTTGCTAAGTAAATAAACCCCTCTTCTTCTTCAGGTTTGCAGCAGACATCTAAACAATTTGGCTTAATACATGCTGCCGTTTGAAGGTGTCTATAATTTTGTTTAACCTGACTTAAAAACGAAAAGTGAAAGCATGCATTATTTTTTGAAACGCTTTTAAAGCTTTTGTTTCACATCCATGATCTATAGTCTATGTAAAGCACAAGCAGTACGGCATCACTTTTGGGTTCTTAGCAGTGATTCTGACCATTTATAGATTTTTTGGGAAGTTTAATTTAGTGGTGAGACTTGAATTAATTACAAGGTCTATAAATAATTCATTTGAATTAATCACATTTAAATCAAAAATCATATCGACTAAATAAACCAACTATCAATCCAAAAATGTATTTGCTCCTCAGTTATTGAATAGATAATCACATGAACACAGCAGCACGTTTTTTGTATTTAATAGATTATTTAGGTTATTCAAGAATCTGATGGTTGAAAGTTATATTTTAGCTTTTAGCAGAAATTCCTGATATTTTTTGCAAAGTCTATGCAACTACTTTTATACAAGTGTGAAAAGACCATGAATATTCATTGTAACACCATTTCTTCAACTAACTGTCCTAAAAAAATATCTAGCAACAATGCAAACAATATTTCCTGTAAGAGTTTTTGTTGTTGTTGTTGCTGTAAACAGAAGATAAGGTTTCATTTCTGATCCTGACAGAACTTTGAAAGTTCAGCTCTGCAAAAAGCATTGCTTAACATTTAAAATGTAATATGGAGCATTTAGTGCATTTTAAATATTTTCCACTGAGGCAACTGTTTCTATCGCAAACAATCCATGTTCCTGGTCCCTGCTCCTTCCTGACTACCAGCACCATTTAGAAAGCAATTATTATGGTGACCGTGGAAGAACTTCCACTGTAGCTCTGATATGAGCCATGGTTTCTAAGCTTGAATATCCCCAGTGAACCAACGGCTGTGATGCTGGTTATGTGTCAGATTTTCAGGTGTACAAGAAACAATGTGTATAAAGGTTCCTGCTTGGGATTTTAGTATGTAAAATTTATGCACTATTTTTGCACGCCACGTATCACTTGGCGTATCACTTTACTTGGATTTATCACTTTACTTGGATTTCCACTTTACTTGGATTTAGTTTTTACATATGCATATATATACATACATAGATATAAATACAGAAGAGCTATATGTGTATATATTTTATCTCTTTTTTATTTTTATTTTTGTCTTTATTATCTTGTGTTGTTGGATGTGTGTATATATATATAAAACTGTAACTGGAGCGTGTAACAAAAGTAATTTCCCTCTGGGATTATAAAAGTATTTCTGATTCTGATTCTAATATATAAGGAAATGCAGTTAATTCTGTTAATATTTTTTTTAAAATGCATTAAAATTATTCTAATTAATTACTCAAAATTAAAATTAATCCATTAAAGTCCCAGCCCGTAAAGCCCATATCATACATCTCATAATTGTAAAGTAGTTTGAAAAAGGCTGGAAAATTCTTGTTTGGCTGAACTTAAAATGTTGCAATATTTATGTGGAAATTGAATTAGTTTTCTAGAGCAGCAAATTTAAAAAACAAAAACAAATAAATGCATTTAGAGAAATTATATGGCAACCCCTAAATGTTAAAAATAGCAGAATATGGTAGCAGGAATAGAACATAAGCAAGATAAACAGAATAGAAACAACAATCGAACAGCCACAGATGAAGACATTTATCTGTTGTTCCGATTATTTAATCAACCTTCAGACATCCAGTCCAATAAAAGCCACCAAACATCAGTCAGTTGTTGTGTTTCCATTAACCATCAAATCAGTCTGAAAATAAATTTGATTAATGAAAACACTAAAACTAAGAAAGTCTTTTGCTACATTTTTTAAAGATTTGAATAGATTTATTATTATTATTATTTTATTTGATCAAAATTCTCATATTTTGAAAAAAAAAAAACTTTTTGGGCATCATGCGAGACACGTGATGTGCAGCTGCACCTTCCTGGCTTGTAAAAAGATGAAGAAAAAGACCAGAAGTAGTTGGAGGATGACGGCGCCCTCTAGAGCCATGGCTGAAATATGACTAGATTTCATGCCTTTACATCCAGTTGATCAGATTCCGTTTAATCAAAGAAAGGATTAATTGAATATAATCTTTTCATGCTTCCCTCTTAACCAGTTTGTTGATTTTCCATTTTTCCATCCAAACTTTAGAGAAGACATATCTTGGTTTTATCCTTTTAGTTAAAAAAAAACAGCAGTACGCTTTAGAAAGCCACTGTGTATCTAGTGTTCAGCCTCTGTTCATTGGTGTCTGATTTTTGGGCAGGTTCGCTGTAACCCCGTGGGCATCTACGGCTCTCGCAAAGCTGGGATATGGAGCGAGTGGAGCCACCCCACAGCTGCTTCCACACCCCACAGTGGTGAGCATGGTCACACACACAGTTTTACACAGACAGACTCACAGTCTGAGGTCTTATCATAAGAGCTTCTTCTCTCTTGATCTCAGGGTTTAGATTCACTTTAGTCCAAAAAGAAGCTATTTTCTGATACCACAGTGTACCGTGTGCCCAGCTGCTCTCAGCAGCAGCTTCACAGCAAAGGCAACATAATAGCGCCTTCAATCTTCCACTCTGTTTTCTTTTGATTAAGTTGCCATATCTATTTATCTAATATCATTTCAGTAAGTCAAATTCCACAAAAACAGACCTATTTAATTATATTTATGCAGCAAAAGCATTCACTGTCTGGCAGAAAGGAGATAAAAACTGTCAGAAAAGTATAAGTGTGGTACTGGTGTTTTGCCTTCCTGGATTCAGTTAGACTGCTTCAGACTCAGAAGTACAGTAACTGCTGTATAAAATGTTATCATAATCTGGCCACAAAAAAGACCGCAGTTATGAAAACAAAACTCGGTTCATAAAAACTCAAATTTTTCTGCAAGGGTTTTTCTACAGTGAAAGGCTCAAAAAGTATTTGTTACAACCAGGACTGACAGACATACAGAAATAAGTTCTACTTTACTCCTTTTCTCTTTTTATTTTATTGATTTTGTTGGTATTGATGCTCACTTTTCATCCAACTCGATTTATTCACTTGTTTAGCTTTCAAAACACCTGATGAGTTCAGTATTGTTTGCATTTCAAAACTCATCTGAAGTCAGAAGATGCAGAATTGGATGTACTAAAGCTGAGCAATCATGTTTTTATTTCCTTTTTTTTAAGCTTAAATGATGTGATTTTTAGTTCCAATAGCTGAGAAGAAGAAGCACCTTGTTGGGAGCAGACCCTAAATACCCATAAGTGAAAAACGACAGAAAAACATGAAACTAAATAAAAAATTAACCAGTAACAACGAGGTGTTTGACTTGCAGGAGGATCTGACTAGAACTGATGGAAACCAAGGAGTATATAGTATCAGGGAGGGTGATTATTAGGGGTGTAAATCACATCCATCATGGCGATTCGATTCAGTATCGATTTCCTGACCCAACGATTCGATTATTTTCGATACTCAAGAGTACACCACGATTTGATTCGATTAATATTTTTTTTATTTCTTTTTTTACACCTTACAGGATAAACAAAGTTTCAAGTTTGAAATAAATCAATGAAAGCTGTAATATCGTTATGCATTTTTTTTAGAAACAACAGCAAATAACAGAAGTAGAAAAGTTGCATCAAAAAATATTGCACAAATACTGCACAAAATCAGTGCAATGAGTGCAATTCAATACCTCGGCTCCAGACGTCCCGCCCCCTTGAGAGACGCTCCGCTGCACCTCTCCCAAATTGTAGCTGACCGCAGACAGTGCCGCAGACAGGAGGCCGGCTTGTTTTGTTTTTATGACCGAAATTGCGGAAAACAACTCGTGAAGTTTGACCCGCTAGAAGAGCGAGGTGCACGAGAACGCTGGGACCCTTTTTCAACCTCGATCTCCGCCCTTTTTGGCCCTCATGTCCCTCCGTTGTCGGACTAAACTCGCCCCCACTTCCTCGCCGCCTCGGCCGTATCTAGACCCACAGTGTGTAGCTCAGACCACGCTTCAATATTGAGCATAATTTAAAAATGTCTGTGTCAAGCTTACTCCAACACACTGCTGTAAGAGTATAACCAGGAAGCGAGGTAGGAGGGCAAAATAGGTTTAGCGCCACCGCAGCACGGGAGGGAGAATTACGCCCAGGAGCAAATGGATAAAAATAGACCGGAGGAAAAAAAAAACATGAATCGATTATCTTGCAGACGTGTCGATGCATCGAATCGTCGGCTGTTGGATCGATCTATTGATACAAAACGATTTTTATTTACACCCCTAGTGTTTATATGAAAGGGAATTGGGTGTGCTCATCACCTGCTGAGACAAAGCTGTGAGGATAACAGGAGAGAGAGATCATTATTCAAAATACAACAGGATAACTTTCTTATAGTAGCAAAGTTGTTTGCATAGGAATTAGCTTGCTGGTCGAAACTCTGGGAACAGTTTATCGTGTTGGTAGCCTGGTCATGGATTATTGCTATTAATTCATTTTAATAGCGTTGCTTTATTGCAGTAATGCAATGGGCAGGTCAGGCTTATTTATTCCTACCAAATCATGTATGTTTGATTTATCTATAAAAGGGTGTATTGAACCACTTGTCCTTAAACGAGGGACATCTATTGTCTAAACTTGAGCTACAGGCCTTAAATACCATGTTTCACAATAGTATCATCATGGCATACAGAGATGTGGAGGATGCCTTTTGTTTGGTGATAATGCAAATAAAAGGCAAGGTAAGTTTATTTATTCGGCACATTTTAGTGGCAAGGCACTTCAACATGCTGAACAGGAGAAAAGAGGAAAAGAAAAAAGAGAAGCAAAAAGAAAAACTAAATATATATATATATGATGAAAATGATTTGTAAACAATATAAATAGATTTAATGGTTAAGAAAATGAAATTAAAACAAAAGTAGAAATTAAATGTACTACAGGATTGTTTCAGGCATTCTTTTACATTTACAAAAACAGCATTACTACTCTGTTTTTGTCTATCACTGAGTTTGAAGCTGGAATCAAATCTTCTATTTGTCGCCCTAATCTACCATTAGCAAAAGCAAAATATCCAGTGGTAATCCTAGCATGGTGGGCTGATATTTGATGCATCTGTTATAAAACTCCCAGCATTCAAACTAAAATCTAAAGCATAGAAGTATGAATAGATGGAGAATACTCTGGTCCCTGATGGTTTCAAAATGTTTGACACTAATAATCAGCTCCTTTCATCGTCTCCTTTCCTCACCCCCCCTCAGAACGACTGATGTCCTGTGACTCGAAGTCCAGCGGAGACTCCAACTCCACCCTGCGGCGAGAGCTGAAGCAGTTTCTCGGCTGGGTGAAGAAGCACGCCTATGGCTGCAGCAGTATGTCCATGAAGTTGTACGACCAGTGGAGGGTGGATATGCAGAAGTCGCCAAAAACTCGCAACCAGGTAGGTAAGCATCGCTAATGCCGAGAAGAAAGCATACGCAAATACGCACGTCTTCCATGTAACCGCAAACAGGCGTGCACTCATGCCCTGTGTACACAAACACAAACAAACTGGAAATGATTTTTGCAAAAGCTGATTCGTAACAGATTTGTGTCTTTCATTTAGGTTCTCCAAGGGGATAAGTCGTAGCACATGCTGGCTCTGCAAGGGGAAAAGAACTGAATGAATGCAGTTTAGTTTCTTTTTCTTCTTTTTTATCCATACGTGTGAATGAGAAGAAAGAAAAACGACTGCATTCCTCTAATAGAAATGTAAAAGACACTTTGCTCCGGAAGAAGTCCAAAGGAAAAAAAATAGTGGGGATATACTTCCTTTCTGCTTCCTTTCCACTCGATATGAGCACGTTTATATGACGGAGCTGCTTTACTCATCATGGATATTGCGAGACAGAAAGAACGTGGATGCAAACCACATTGTAGCATGAAGATGTTGGACTGCAGTAAAGACATTTCACATGCATTTGACCTGATTGTGCACGGAGGAGATCAAATCCAATCTGAATTTACCTGAAATGTTGGCTAAAGCAGCTAAAAGTGACACCAGTGGCTTTAGGAGATTCTTGTCAATACAAGGCGCCATCTAGTGGCTGCTGAGTATCCATGAATTCCCCAAACCCTCCCTCCTCTGAGATCCTAATGTAAAAAGAAATATGAACAGATTATGATTCAGTATTTTAACGAGTGCTTTGCTATATAGGTGGATAGTGTGCCAAACTGGTTCACCCAGGATGTGACTGATGGTGTCTGTGTTGGCTATGGAAAGCCTTTATTTTTGTACTAAACTGTACCAGCATATTTAAAGTATAAAGCTATGTTTTATAATTCTTAAGTTAAATTTAGTCAGTAAAGACTGTACAATGACTGAAGTTGTTATCAATTTTTAACTGTGTTCTATAAAAATGTTGCCAGAAAACCTGAGGTTTGATTCCTTTTTGTGTGTTCACATTTGTGTGTCAGCTCAACCTTTAAGATTATCTCTTTTTTAAATTTCCTCATGCTTATCCCCATTTAAATGGGTTGACATTAGAATATATTTATATGCATCATATTACAATAAGAATAGCGTTATTCCTCACTGTCCTGTTTTAGGTCAGTAAGGGTTACTAAACCATTTCCTTTCGAAAACTATTGGAGTATTATGTGAGATACGAATTTATAGTTTATTCTGTATTACTTCCTTCGAAAGAAACTATTTGAGAAAAGCTTAATGAGGGGTTTTGAAACGGCCTATGCAACATACAGCTTCTTATAAGACACCTTGGAAAATGAATGAATAAAAATTTTGCCTAAAGGTGAGTGGAGGATTTTTGCGAATTTTGAAAAGACGCGCAAATGCACATGCACAACCCCATAGTCGCTCCGGAGAGGCCGTGCGAGAGCGTGCACCAGCCCATTTGAGCTTGTTAATGCTCTGTTTAAAAGTTGCTGTTTGCATCGCTCATACAAGCTTACTTTGCAAAAGAAGATTTGCAATTTTTCCACTATGTCAGACTCAACACCGGTATGTGAAAATGGGGACGCCCACGTAGGACGGCTTTACATTAACGTATGACCAGAATGATTAACAATTAGTAGGACCACTTATTTTGATGGTCCACCTGGAAAAATCATCCTCCACTATACCTTTAATTATCAGCAAGAGATTTCTGGACCTGAACTTTGCCTACAGTTTAGAGAAAGTATTCATAGGGCTGGACGATACATTGATTGTATTGATCATGAAAATTTTTTGTTTAGGAAGATTTAATAAAAAAAACTAAAAAAAAATCTGGATTGTTTTTTTCAAACTAATCCTCTTCTTGGGCTTCCATATCTCAGGGTGACCTCTGTTCATCACTTTTTGTTTTTAGATGTCTCATAACTGATAAACTAGCTCTCTCTGTGATAACATCAGCTGAATTTATTTATCTCTTCAAATTAAGGGCACCTTCCAGAAGGGATGATTGAAAACAAAGCTAGTTTTTAAAGAAATTGATATTATTTATCTTTTTTTTTTTATTATGGAAAAATCAGACTTGTTTGCAAAAAAAGGGGACTAAATTTTTATGCCATATCGGCCATCCCTAGTGCTTAACTTTTCCCCAATTTTAGTTACACTAAAGCCTTATTAACAGTGATATTCATTTAATCTGTTCTCAAAGTTCGTCTCAAAAAACTTCATTATTATTTTGAAAAAATACGATTTTTTATGTTGTTGCAAATGTAAATAAAGTATAAAATTAATAAATCACTTTTACGTAAATCTGTACAGCTACACACCTTGTTATTTAATGTCCCACAGTGTAAAGGTAATTTCAGGGTTCAATCACTAATTCTAACGTCAAAGAAATTGTCTTCAGCCATAAACCTGGGGAAGTATTCAGACACATTACTGCTGCTTTGAATGTCCCAGTGAGCACAGTGAAATCAATCTCTCATAAATGGGAGAAATTTGGAATAACCAGGACTCTTCCTAGAGTAAGGGGATTAATCAGGTAACCATGTTTTCTCTGTCAGGGCCTCAACGTTTCTCTGTGCATAGAATAGAACCTTATAGACCGATAAATATCTCTTCAGCAATCTACCAACCCTTCCTTTATGGTAAAGAGTGGTTATATGAAAACTGCTTCTTAATAAAAGGCAGATGGCAGCCTGTCCGGGGTTCACCAAAGAGAAAAAAACAAAATAATCTGACAAAGATCAAACTCTTGGCTGTGAATGCCAGGTTTTAGAAAACAAGACACCACTAGACCAATGCAATCCCTACTGTGAAGTACGGCGAGGCAGCATCATGCTTTGGAGAGGTTTTTAGCAGCAGGAATCTGGATTAAGAGAATTTTTAATGCAGCAATTTACAGACTTTCTGGAGGAACCCAAACTTGTTTTTTTTGAAAACCTGTTTTCAGAGCCAGAGTCCAGACCTGATTTGAGGCCTATAGAGATCAGAATATGGTCTGTCCTAGCAAACCTGATGGAGCTTAAAATGTTATTTAAAGAAAATAGGAAACGCTCCCTAAATAGCTGTTCTGAGTTTGAGATAACAGATTCAAGCGACTGTAAATAGTTAATACATACAAACCAGAAGCTGGGAATTCTTATATAAATGACATTAGTTTTCAAATTTTTATAAATTTGCACAACAGCCCAAAAAAAACACAACTCTTTTCTTACATTGAGAGATATTGTGTGATAAGCTTTTAGGAAAGTTGTCATTTCATAAAAAAAAAAAAAGTTCTGATTTACTGTATAAAAACATTGCAATGTGCAGCAATGTCCCCTACTTTAGAGGTGCCGAAAGTAAATCTGCTGTAGATATTAGCAGTCAGATCACATCATGCTTTTTAATTTTTGATTAGATATTTTTGCACAACCTTATCACATCGTCCCATGCCTTTGGTACAAATGTCAGCTTATTTCCAGTAAACAATTACCAAAACTAAAATATTATAGTACGGTATATTTTGATGATGATATGGATATGATATATTTATACGAGTATGACAATAAATGTTGTCTCAGTACAAGTCCAAGTCTATATCAATCTAGAACACCTGAAGTGTGTTTGAGGCCTTCCTGGTTGATTCTTACTAAATGATGCAACTCTGCCCCCTGCTGACAATAAGTAGTACCTGCAGTTTGCCCCCTGATAAAATGTGCAGTTGGACTTTAAAACTATATCTACATCATAGATTGGTTTTCTGCTTTAAGAGGCATATATGTTAAGCTTTTCACTTGACGTGGTTTTCTTTGTTTGTTATAAGGAATCCCTTTTAGACTTCAGCTAAATGATGACTTTGGTTTTGCCTTTCTTTTATGTTAGATTATTTCTGTGTTTGACTATGACATGGTTACCAGCTAAAAAAATAAATCATAATACTTCTAATTACCACAGACAATGGAGAGGGAAGTACTAAGCAGGCATCTACCTAATGAATCAAATCTGCCTCTCATCCCAACCTTTTGACCCTGAGTCGGGTCTTTTGAACATCTCTCAGTGTCGTTTCGTTGTCAGAAACCTGAGACGCTGCCTGTGTTTCCTGCATGCAGCGAGTTCATCTCCCTCTGCTGTCACATCAGAGTCTTGTTACTGCGTCTGTGACCACTCATTCACTGCTGGTCGAAACTTTAAACTGGAAGAAGGTTTGTTTTACTTCTGGCCTCGCTCTCAGCACATTACTTACCTCTGTCTTTGCCAACAGCTAATCTTGGTTGCAAATGGTAGGTGCTCCTCCTTTATACTTATTATTCTTTAAATATTATCCTCACACTCCTTGGAACAATTCTTAGGCCCTATTCTTTAAAACAAGTTTATTCTAAGCAAAAATGCAGAATTAATGACACAAATTTAAAGATTTATCCAAATTCAACCTACCTCATCGCCATAAAATCCATCTGAAAGATCAGTTACGCTATCTTCCTTCTGAATAAAAAAAAAACTGTTTTTGTATAGTCCTCATATTTATGATTTATGTAGAATAAACAGTCAACAGAACTAATAATTACTGTTTTTATAGATAATCATATTAAGAAAAAATAAAAAAAACTAAATGACTTCAAAGAAACACAAATAAACCCAACACAGTTATAACTATACAACTTGAGATTAAAAGAAGTGTCTATTATAAGGGTTTAAATAGTCATAATATTATTAAACTGATTCAAAATCTAACTTAAGGAGTTATCAGAAGTTTGTCTGTCTCTCAGGAGCAGCCCTTCTATGTTTAAGTTCACGCTAAAACATCCAAGCAGTACTGATTTCTTGTGGCACTGGGCAAAGGGCCCACTTTGGAATCTGAACCGTGTAATCCATTTAAAGGCATTTGCTAAGTCATGCAGCACACATGTACAAGGTGGGTGGAGGAAAATTGGAAACATAATGTGCCCAAATTTGCACAAAAATAAACAATATCTAAGTAGCACACTCTGCAAGCAAAAACATTTGTTCTGTCTTTAATTGAGCTAAAACAAGGTTCTCTTCTTGGCACTGCTTTCTGTCAGGAGCGGAGAATTCACAAGGGGTTGATCAACCAATCACATGTGCATCGCGGTAACACAAGAGACACGTCACTGCAAGATCCAATAGTAACTGAATTGTTTCAAAAAATGAATTTTTTTATTTAACCGTTTCTTTAGACCAGGAAGAAACTTCTCTAAGTTTCATTAAATATTATTAACATAACCGTATGAGGCTGTTTTAGACAATATTTTTTCTAATATAATCATTCTATTTGATAAAAAGACAGGTTTAAATTCAAGATTTATCATTTAATCAACATTTAAAGTCACAGGTTTGCATTAAAGTTAAGCATTTTTTGTGGATCATCAATGGGGCAAATGAAAAAAATCCTGTTTGTTAAATTAGATTGATTGATCATTTATTTCAAACACGTAATAAAAAGCAAATACAAGTAAATTAATAAAGTCATAACAAAACAAAACAAAAAAGAAGAAAAAGAAAAAACATACATACCATCATGTTCGAAAAGGAGTAGGAAGAAGTAATAAAACTTATTAAATCCTACCCCTGTTCTATATTAACATCTACCTATGTTTAAGCATACATACATATCTATATATATATACACACACACACATATATATATATATACATACACATACTCATAGATACCTATACATATATATACACACATACATACTTACACATACACCCATATCTCAAACACATGCACACATACATGCATATGCATACACACCCACATAACTATAGACAGTATACACATATCTCTATCTACATATACGTACACATATATCCATACATATCCATATACCAAAAACCCTTTTCTCTTACTTTTCTTAGAAAACAATCCCTTAATTTTACTACCTGGAATAACTGATCCAACAACTGCTGATAAACATTAAAAAAAAAAACTTTACAGGGTGTTAACTTTCTATGCAAGAAAATGTTCCCTCTTTAAGTGGATAATGAAATAAAATCCCCTCCAAAATGCAATGGCAGAAGGTTGTCCTGAGCCATGTGCATCTCAACTACCTGACATCCCGGCTGCATGACAGGAAGGATGTTTTTATTAAAACATGGGGACACTTCCTGTCATATACCAGACTAAATATTTCACAATCCTTACAAGAGCCTTTGGTCACACCACAGAGGCTCAGCCAGACTTTCACTCGTTTCAACGCCTATCCAGGAGTCTTTGTCAATTATTTTGGCTCGTACCCGAGCAATCTACTGTATAGTCGGTAGGGGTTAATGTATTCAAGTAGCATGGAGGTCCAACCTCCTGAACATGTTCCTCCACAGATGGACCTCCATGTTTCTTAATTGCATCAGGCTGCTTCCCAATTAATCAAATCAGTACAAACTCTTAATTCGAAGAGCTTCATTGATCGCCATTATAAACGCTGTCTAAATAGTGCGGACAGTGACAAAGGCGGTAGGAAAAGGTGTAATTTTTTAAAACACTAATGTCCAGATTTGGCTGGTATCAGTTAGTTTCAGTTTAATTCAGTTTCTTTATATGACTCAAATTGACATCACATGTCACCTTGATATACGTGACAGAGACAGCAAAATCAGGTTGATTAAAGTTTTCTATCAGGAAAAACCAGTTGATTGCATTGAGACATGCTCCTCCTGGATGAGCTTGCAGGTTTGACATAAATGCATCATCCAAACGCATTTTTATCACATAATGAAGTCTGGGTGTGTGGAAGTTGGCACAGCAGTCCAGAGTTTCTTTTCTGCTCGTGATAAACTGTTGAACCCCTGAAAGGCCACAGTTTGATGAATTCAGAAGCAGCCCCAGTAAAATGCCATCTTCTACCTGCAAGACTCTCTTGCTCCTTATAGTGTTTCTACAACAGATGTTTTCTGTAGTTCCTCATAAAGGAGGTGTCAAGTAGATCTCCTGACCAGGAGCTTAATCCAACTCACCCGCTCAATAAAAGGGCTGCAGCTCTATTTCATCCCTCCTGGATAACAGCTCTCTTCATCTATCTTGAATGGTGATAGGATGAAGAGATCATTTAAAGGAATAGTACACCCAAAACATGATTAGCCTTCATTTTCTACTCACCCCCATGCTGAACAACACGCTGGAGTACTTTTTTGATATCTCAAATGCATCTGGAGATCTGGGAGGCTTCTTGCTGTCTGCTGACATTCAAATAATGGAGGTCTATGGTGACCGAGACAGAAAGGTCCATAAAAGTCCACAAAAAACGTGTCAATATTCCTCCATACTGCTCGTCCAATGTATTCCAAGTGTCCTGAGTGGGTAGCATCCAGAATTTACTCGAAACAAAGTCATTTAGAATGTTTTTAGAGCATAAAAAGTAGTGTATAGGATTTCCTGAAAGCGCGCACATGCGCGTTCACGAGCCTACGGAAGCGTAGAAGAAGAAATGTGCTGTTTACCTGTGCAAAGAAAGAAACAACGAAAGAAAAATGTCTGAGGACTTCATTGTTGAGGAAGAGCATGAGTTCTTTGCCGAGCTGAATGCGCTGGTTTGGTCTGCCGGCTTCCGTAGGCTCGTGAACGCGCATGTGCGCGCTTTCAGGAAATCCTATACACTACTGTTTATGCTCTAAAAACATTCTAAATGACTTCGTTTCGAGTAAATTCTGGATGCTACCCACTCAGAACACTTGGAATACATTGGACGAGCAGTATGGAGGAATATTGACACGTTTTTTGTGGACTTTTATGGACCTTTCTGTCTCGGGCGCCATAGACCTCCATTATTTGAATGTCAGCAGACAGCAAGAAGCCTCTCAGATCTCCAGATGCATTTGAGATATCAAAAAAGTACTCCAGAGTGTTGTTCAGCATGGGGGTGAGTAGAAAATGAAGGCTAATCATGTTTTGGGTGTACTATTCCTTTAAGCAGCACCTGAAGCCTTTCACTGATATTTACAGGTCACAGTCCAAATGTAGATGTGGCAGTGAAAACCTCTAAATGGCTCAAATTCTTCCTCATTGCACATCAGAGCAGTACGAGGCTCCACTCTGTTGATCGTCTAATTAAACTAACATCCAAGACAAAGGGATCCTTGAATCTTTCAGTTTAAGGCCCAGATCGGCTCCTCACCTGGAGGAACTACAGTAGTTCAACCTTTTCCAATCTCTTTGTGCCACTTCCTAAACAAAGAAATCATGTCTCTGTACCACGGTTAATTAGTTAGAGTTAGAAGGTCTCCATTCAGTTTTCTGCTTTTTACATCTCACTTATCTAACTCAAAGGTTGCCAACAAATATTGTTCACCTGTATGCAGCATTCAGTGAAGTCATTTACAAGTTATAGTAGAAATACCTACCTGACATACTGTACAGATCTTCATTTGCAAATACATATTTGTTGCTGACACTTTTTCAGTTCGATTCAACTGATCTCTTTCCCATCTGCAAGAGCTGCTGGGGTTGTTTTTCTGGATCAAATGTTAGGATGTAAAACATTCTTTGCATCTCTCAAAAAATATTACCAGCATTTCAATGTATTTTAATGGGATTGCATGAGATAAACAGACTCAGAATATACAGATTACAAATATACATACATATAATTTTTTTTTAGCAACATTTAAAAAACTGTAACTGTAACTTTTATTCACCCTTTAATACTCTGTAACCAAAATCCCATGAGACTAACTACACTTTACCTGTTACTGATTTTAATTTCAGTAGAAAGCTAAAAATCACCCTAAATACACTTATGGATAGGGTTAAGCATAAAGGTGGCGGTATCATTCTGTGGGGATCAGTTGGCAGAAACAGTGAAGTATGTCACAGTTAACTTAAAGATCGGCAAAGCTAAACAGGGAAAACCTGGAATAAAACTTGTTAGAGACTGCAGAGGAAAAACACTAAACATGCAACAACAGTTAGGATGCATTAAAACATCTTTTCATTAAATAGAATCTAAGTGGAAGTTCAACTGAAGAAACTCATTGCTTTCATACATCTACCTGCGACACAGCCATTCAGCTTTGAACCACACCTCTATGAAAGCCAATCGGCATCAAAAGTTAATCTTAAAAGGCCTCCGATACGCAGCTGTCTGCTCCTGTGCGCAGACGGCGGATGCGCTGTGTGATTTCATTCAGATGTGTTTCAACCCACCTCCAGCCCCTCCTCCACCGTCGAAGGTAAAGCTTCATCAGAGTGTCATTCCTCCCGGACTCTTACTGCGTTCCCTGTCTCATCTTAACCGGTCCGGCAGAAGACCCCCATGTTGAGCCTGGTTCTGCCAGAGGTTTTTTTCCAACGAGGAGTTTTTCCTCTCCACTGTCGCTTCATTGTTGCTCATCATGGACAGGTTCTCTCAACCTGTGTTATCCAACTGGACTTCCATCTTCCAGGTCACTGAGTGAAGCTGTATTATCAGCTCACGCAGTTCACTGGATCTCCCCATAAGCTCAGCATCCTGTCTCACTAACCAGCAGTCTATAGACTGACCAACTTCATCTATCTCCACTCCACCAGTTTCAGGCCTGGGGTGGAAACATCCCTATTCTTTGCTCATGTTCATGCATATCTATAAAATTTAAGCACTATGTTTCCTGCCGAGGTTTCAGCACCAATGACAAAGTAATTGTATCAATACATTTCTCCTGATTGTCTTTTCTCTTCGTGTGAGTTTTTCAAATTGAAATAATCCCTGGAAAATTGGCGTTGACCAATATTATCAATTCATTATGACTCGGCTTGATCTGATTGTCTAAGAGGTTGCAACTATATTCAGTCAAGTTTTGAAAGAACACTTTTATATACAATACAAATGCATGGCTCACTTACAGCGTTTTAATGGTTAGAATAATGAAAACTAAGTATAAATTTTCTGTCTCCATCATATAAACCAAAAAATATATTAAAAATAGATTTAATCTAGATGTAATACGGGTGTAATGTGTCAAAATTCAGAAAAGCTTAAGGGTTTCTGTTAGATTTCACATTTTTGTATCCTGATGGTGACAACCATTTGGCTTGAAAGATGCATTCATAATAAGAGCCTTGGAGAAAGAAGATGTGGAGAGCAGGTTGGGCACGCTTACAAGCCTACGGTCAAGATAGGATTTCCTGCTTTGCAGGTCATGAATAATGCAGCATTAGAGGGTGCGACTCTCCTCGAAAGAGAGCAAAAGAAAAGGATATGTCTGAAAGAGCTGCAGAGGGAAGGAGAAAGAGCAACACACAAGAAAGAGGCTGGAGGATTATGGAGGAGGTGGTGAGGAAGCGACCAATCATCTCTGCTAAGGAAAGAGGTCTGTTAGAGAAATCTATATGCCTCCGCGTGTGTCTGTAAGCTATACCTTTATGTGTGTCTGTGTGTGTGTTTGTTAACATCCACATGGGTTGTATTAACGCTGAATTGAGTTCTGCCATGAAATCTCTCACAGCATCACAATGTCACTGCTCCTTCTCTTATTTGAGATCCTGACTTTGTTTGGAATTCATTCCCAAAGCAACAGAGGAAGAATGTTAAAATGCATAACCGTAGAAAAAATGGGCTCCATATGGGAATAATCAGAAACAATACAGCCGGAGCCAGAGAGTGCTGGGTGTGTGCAGACGCACCGCTTTGGAGCCGGATTTGTTGCATCATTTTCATCACTCTCCACCTCCTCATCCTAATTCACCTTTACTCCCACTCCCTGTCAGGCCCCGGCCCTGGACGCTATGCACTGCCCCCAACTGTTGGATACATTAACCATGATTTCACCAAACCCAACAGCCCAGCATACTCTTTTCATGGCCGCATGAGCTCTGCCAGTAAGTTTGCATCCAAAATCATACTGCTTATCTCTCAGAAAATTAAAGTCTAAGCATGCAGGGGGTGAGTGCTGGAAAATGATGAGAATAATTTAGGGATATTTTTTTACTTACAAGTACATTAAACATCTTTTATTGTTGGTTCCAGAGATTTAAATACATGTATTCTAGTGGTTAAACATACAAGACACATAAGACTGAGTGGTCAATTAAGTGCTGTCTATTTGTTAGTGATCTCTATAGACTCCAGCCCTGGACCGAGGTACTATATTGGGGGCAATATTACCCGGTTTGGCCGCACAGAGACACCATCCTACTCTATTTCAGGGAGAGGCAGACGAATCAGGAAGAAAGGTAAGCACAAAACAACAGCAAAAACATTCAAAGTTGCTTGGATGTAGAAGCATGATAATTTTTTGCTGATGAAAATAGTCACAGGAAGTGGGTAAAACCACATCAGTAAAGAGAATGTTATTGGATTAGCTGCAGAGATCCACAGTTCATAAGATAAGATCAGCATTCTACACAACAAATGTGGCATCTGTGAAAGAGTGGTAAGAAAACGGCCATTTTGAAAAAAGACACACAAAAAAGTTGCATTTAAGGTTGCATGTCAGACATGTCAGACATACAAGAAATAGGATACTCTGGTAAGATGAGACCAACACAGACATGCAAAGCTTGTAGTTTAAATAAAAAAACCCTACAAATCAAAAGTGAAACACGGAGTTGGTGGCATAATGCTGTGGAGATGGGAAGATGGATAGAGCGAAGCACTTGGCATTCCTGGAAGAGAACCTCTTACAGGGTACAAAAGGCTTGCTATAGCCACAGATATGAAGTGATGGTTTAGACCCAAGCAGATTAATGTGTGTGTTTTCGAAAGACTGTAGAAAATGTTGTCTGTCACTGAATGGTGAAGTTCGTAGCTGGACCCAAAATGCAGAGGCTGATGCACTGATGATTTGTTGCAGATTTTTTGCAGCCAAAGTATAAGTCCCAAAATTAAATATCCAAGAAATATGGGAACCAGAACAGAGAAGACATGACATAATGACGACAATCCAGCAAAGACAAAGTGCAGAGGAGGGGTATTTATACACTAGGGGGCAATGGAGAGTAACTGGGAAATATAACCTCAACATAAATGTAAACAATGAATGACACAGCTACAACTAGAGAAAAGGCTAAGGACTGCTGAATAGGACATACAGTACCTAACAAAAACACCAAACAGGAAGAATAAAAACAGAATCACGTAATTCCCAGCCTAACTGAAAACCCAAAGTGAAAACTAAACAGAACCAAACATCCTAAAATGGCAGAGCTTAACACAGTCTGTATATCCGTATTGCAGGTATGGATATACTCAACAAAAGCAGCAAAAAGAAGGTGGTTGTAGAAAATATTAATAGTAATCTGAGTGGAAAACTACTGCATGGTACCCTTTCAGGGGTATATAACAACGTGAATATTCATTATTTTGTTTTGGTCTATAAGTGTGACCATTTTTGTAAAAACTTTAATGCAGGACTCCTTCCTTGGTTCTGCTCATAGATGAGCTTTTCCAGACACCGGGACCAGGGGCCTACAGCCCAGAGAGGGCTCCCCCATTGAACGGTCACCGGAGACCTCCTTCCTACACAATTGGAGAACGGACCAGATACCGAACCGTGGACCCTGTACCGGCACCAAACAGGTGAGAGCAGCTGGAGGGCAGATATAGAGGATGACATGAAGCCGAATAATCCAGCTATTAGGTAATGTGCGTGCAAACAACCACAGAGAAAGCTCCCTCCTCTGTTTTCCCTTAGCTTGATTGCTTTCAGATTTCTTTTCTTTTTTAGTTTGGAAATAGTCACAAGTTGATTTCAGTTTATTCCACTGATATCATCCAGCTGTCACAAATTATGCTAATTTCAAACATGGTTTTGTCCCGACAAGTACACCATTGATGACTATATTAAAACATTGTTTGGAAAAGGTTTTTTTTTTTTCTTATCCTACCTAAACTGTGTATTTTATCTGTTTGCATTAATCACTTAGGTTAGGTCACCAAACCGTTGGAGACTTTTATCTTGGACCAAAGCTTACAACAGTGTATTGTCGTTGTAATTGTAGTTTCCTGCTTTTAAAACTTGACTAGCATACCTTTGATTGCCAAATAATGGAAGGCACTTGAATGATTTCAAAGCTTTGAGAAAAATCAGGAATAGTAACAATGATTTCCTCATCAAACTTATTATCTAAAAACATTGACAGTTTTTCTATAAACCTAAAGAACCCTCATCTCTAATCTGTTAGCTACACTCTTCCTGACCTGCTGGGTCCCCAGAACCCTCACAAGCCCGCCAGCGCCAGCTACAGCTTCTCAGGTCGTAGGACAATTGGCGGTCCCTCTGAGGATCTCTCCAAAACACCGGGACCCGGACAGTACAGAAGCATCGACCCGGACATCTACAGGCAGCGGCAGCCTTGCTTCTCTATGCAGAGCCGGACTAAGAGGCAGAGTTCCTCCTCTGTTGCTCCAGGTCCGGGTACCTATAGCCCAGAGAAGACCTACAGGCACCTCCACAAGTCCCCGTCTTTCACTATGGGCATCAGGCACTCTGAGTTTGTCACCCCACTCGTGGTGAATGTGAAGGATTGACCAGCCACACATTGAAAATACCTCATGGATTTGTTTTTATTCATTTGATTAACAACTTAAATAAATAGGACTTCTGCTCTGTACAGATTTAATTGGTAAAATTTATCATAAATAAAACTTAACATCAACAACTCTCGCTTGCATTGTCTCTGCAGTTTAAAAAAACAAAGAACCAAAATCACATTTTCTTCCACTTCAGTTTACAGTGAGGAGGAGGATTTGTCCCCTTGGAAGTAAAGGCTGTAGCGCCCCGGGGGCCTCCTCACCGGTTCTTTTCCTGGGAGCAAGTTATTTACTACTCTTAACTCAAACTGGATAAAACCATATAAAAAAGGACTATAAAAACAGGAGTAAAAAAGTAACAGAGTTTATTCCAGATCAGGTCGTTACAGGACAGAGAAAAATGCTTAGAGCTTGCACAGCTGTGGTCTCAAAAATCACGTCCGCAAGCGTCCGGCAAAGTTTGAGCCCCGAACAACGTCATCTCCTGCTTCTTAAACCTTCTGAGTCTGTGTTACATCATGTGGATGCTTAGCTGTCCGTATCAGAAACTGACACGCCATCCATTACTTGAACTCCATGCAGGTTGCCTCTCTGTCTCAGAGTTACAGATAGCCCTTCTCTATCATACCGGCTCCAAGATGTGCCCATATCCTGTGTACCTCTAAAGACTCGAAGGCTGTCCCGATTAGATGACCTCCGTACACACAGTGACATCCACAATGTGAAGGAAGGCCTTCTGCTCTGTCTAATCGGGCTAACAGAATGCACATGATGTATAATTAATTAAACCTAACAACAGCAAAGTGCATTCGTGGAAAAAAAAAAAAAGGTGAGTGGAAGTCTCTATTGTGTTTTCGGCATTGTGATTAGCTCAGGTGAGCTCCATTCGCTGCACTTCCCCAGGCCCAGGAATTCCTCAGCACACACCTGTAACCGGTAGGTTCTCCCTGGAACCAGCCCCTTTAGTTTGGCCTTGGTGTCCTCAGACAGGCCCCACTGGGAAAGAAGACACATCAATACATCAAAACAAATCAAAGAAGAAGAATCAAATACAACTAAAATCTTTCCATCTTATGCTTATTCTGAGTGTTCCTGGGTTTTGGGGGTTTATTGGCAATACTGAAAAGTTAAATAGGGCTTTACAATCCCTTCAAGTAGTCATTATTATTTGGTCATCTGTATGAGATTATAGAAATGACAGTAGTAATATTTGTCTTTGAAAAATCCAAAACTGAATATTTCATGAGTGAGCTGCAGAAAATCAGCTGTCTGTCATACCAGATCCGTACTGCTGAAAGATTAACTTGGGATATTAAAAAAACATAAACATGGTAAAATCCGGCTTTACAGCTGAGACTATATCATAGGTAAAAATGTTATTAATCACCATAAAGTTATTGAAAATTACTATAAATGAAAAAAAAGCAACTTGATCAGAATTTCTATGAATCTATCGTTGGTATTTTTTGGGTTTCCCTCGGATTAATGAGGCCTCTAGAAAGGACCCATGTTCATCTTAGTATTATTCACAGGGAGCAGAATGAAAGATAAGCTAAAAAAATCCCCCAAAACTCACTGAACTGCAGCAAAGACGAGCTTCATATCTAAATGCCTACCATGACAAATGTAAACCCAAATGTGAAACTTGACCAGATCCGAATTAAAATAGGCTTTTTAACAAACAGACCAAATGAGTTTGCAATAAAACAAATGATAAATATATGGTATTTATATTTCCTCATTCATATAAAAGCACTTTGGAGGGTCTGTGATGCTTTGTGTCTTTTTCTCAGCTAAGGACAACAAGAACCTTATCAGCACAATATCATATACTGTTAGAAATACTAATAAAATGTATTATAAATCTGGCTTCCGCTTTGAGAAAACTGAAAACTGAGTCTTCATGAGAGGCATAATGAACGGCAACATATGACCTGTATTTAACAGACAAGATCTGTAACTTCGTGGGGCCTTATGGCAGCATCAAATCAAGCATTGTCCTAGTAGTACCATTAGGGCCTCTGGTTTTGGTATTAACAGAAACTGTTACCTTGAATGTACACTCTGTCCATCTGCGCTGCGCTGTGTGAACTTCTCTGCATGACACTTTTTCCTGCTAAATAAAGAAACTGAAATCAATAGGTTGGATTTGTCTAAATTAACTAAAGATTGAATTGCTTTTAAAAATGTCAAACTTCTTCACCTCCTGCAGAGCTACAGATAACATCTTGTGTTTCCTCTCATCAGCTGTACACTAAGTACAAGTGTAATAACAGCTAATAAAGCAATAACTTTCGCCTTTTAATGTCAGACATTTAACTAATACTTTTAGCAAAACTACTGAAAAAGTAGTCATGAAGAAATGATTGGGACACCCTAGTTTTCTTAAATGTCTTTTTCTAAATGCATATTAAATGAAGATATTGTACAAAAAAGAAAAGAGGGAAGGTCTTTTTTCCAAGTATGCATTATGTCAAATTGTTTAAATTGTTAAGAGTTAAACATGTAGCGCACACTTTACCTTCAAGATACAAACATTTTAAAGAAGTAAATCATTTGGTGAGAAATAATAATCCTTAAAACATTTTTTTTTTTTTTTTACAAAAAATTACAAAGTTAAGAAGTATAAACTTGTACTGTAAAGGAAACAGGAGAGTTAGCTATTTTTTAAATAAATGTAGCCTCTCAGTTCTAACTTCTGCTTCTCGAAATGCCGGTTTAACAGTTTCAACCAGAGGTTTAGCTACTGTAAGTGTTGAGAATAAGAATGACAAAACTCTGTGGTTACCAGCTAGCGGGGATTTCAAAATGAGGAAACGTCTGAAACTCATAATGTTTCATTAGTTTTAGGTAGTTTTTAACTTCCACAAAAGATACATCATGTGTTACACGCAGATTCTGGGATTTCAATTACGTTGCTGTTGTGACACCCCTTTTGCTCAGCATGTGGTATTAAGATTTTTTCTTCCTTACATTAACAGACACGGGGTTTCCCTTGGTTTCCCAGCGGTAGCGTATATGGTACTTCAGAGGAAAGATGTCTATGCTGCTCCATGTAGGTGGAGGAGACCATTCCACCAACAGCGTTTTGGTAGTAAGAGGGGAAAGCGTGATATTTACAGGAGGATCTGGCTGCACTGTGGAGAGATCAGTATTGGAATTTCGTTGTTAATAAAATATGATAAAAAGTTGTAAAACAACTATTTTACCACAGAATAAAAAATTTTCATAGCTTCACACCATTATTATTTTTAGTTTAGGCAAAATGTTTTCATCTCACCGATATCCTCCAGCAAAAAACTTGTTAGGTAGGAGCTGCTCCCCCCAGAGTGAACGGCTGTGATGTTGAGGATGTATTCGGTGAGAAGTTTCTGGTTGGGCAGGTGACAGTGCCAGAGCTGCAGAGGAAAAAAATCACATTAAAAAAGAAAACAATCATGAGATGTTGCTTCAATTTTCACATGATGTTCTTTCTGCATCATATCTTGTTTGGGAAGAGTACTGGTCCAACCAGTACCAAAATTCAAAAACACTCAGTGGAAATCTGGCCCTAAAGTTGCCTTCAAAGTAGAGACTTATTTTTTTTTAGTGACCTTTCAGAACATGCCAGGAATGGATAGTTGTCACAAGCTTCCACCTGCATCTTCTCTACAAAACTTATTCAGCTCAGGTTCAAAGTATCATGCTGTGATGACATGATCCTTGTGTTCATATGGCTGTATAAAAAAAAAGACCTGCAGGTATCTGAAAAATTATAACCAAGAATTAACAAGGTTTGCGGAGGACCACAATGATATATCGGATTTCTCCAAAATGCAACCAATGGTCTGCCTTCTTCGAAATAATAATAATAAATAAAATATTCCAGAGGTCTTCAACAGGGGGTCCGTGACCCCTAGGCGGTCCACAGAGGTACTGCATGGGGGTCGTGAAACTTTTGGTCGATTAGACTTTTTTTTTTATATATTCCCCCCTGCAATTTTTCTACTAATTCAAATGTCTTGAAAAACATGTAAACATGAATTTAATACACTGTAGTAAACAGATAAATGGAGGCAGAAGATGTCTTTCAGTCATCAATGCACACATTCAGGGACACACAGGGGTTCTTTCAAGCTGGGCACCGTTTCATTCACAACACCTGTCCCATCTAGAGGAATCCAAATCAGAAATACTTAAATAATTCCAGGGTGAAATAACTTTCGTTACATGACTCCAACTGTAATTGAGCGACAGTTTTATATAACATAATTTCATACAATATATATAATTAGGGGTGGTCCCCGCTCCATCTCGCCATCAGTTTGGAGGTCCTTGGCCTGGAAACTGTTGTAGACCTCTGAAATATTCTATTAGCAAGTATGACCTTTTTTTTAAAAATGGTTATCATCTGGGTTTTCCAAAACTGTCTGAATGGTTAATATAAATCTAGTGTATATAAATGTCTTAGAGATAGATAGATAGATAGATAGATAGATAGATAGATAGATAGATAGATAGATAGATAGATAGATAGATAGATAGATAGATAGATAGATAGATAGATAGATAGATAGATAGATAGATAGATAGATAGATAGATAGATAGAAATAGATAGATAGAAAATGTGCAAAAAAATCAGCTATAACATATGTGAAGAAAGCTTGATTAAACTGGAGTTTTGGGGAAAACTGACTGCTTTCTTCCTGCAGCATGAATGAATCACTGTCTGCAAATGAGTAAGTCATTCTATGTTTCACTAAACCTAAAAAATGGAACAAAACAAACTGTTTTGTCTCCAACCCCCACGCTCACCTGCTCGGAGAGTGAAGATGATGGTGTTGTTGTCAGAACAGGAGATGAAGAGCCAGGCGGAATCATTTGGCACACCTTGATATCAGCATTAATGTGTCTCTCACTGTTGGGCAGAAACACCAACATACCTGATGACTTATGCCTCACAGTGCTTTTATATATTTTTCTAATTTGTAATTACTGTGATGACCAAACCATGCTTGCAGTTTACCTGTAGGTGGCAAGGTAATGTGTAGGTTGAGAGCGCAGAGGTTCTGGCCAGGAGCAAAGTATCTCAAATGGATAGCTGAAACACCGGCAGCGCACAGCGGGAAAGGAGGGAAAATCTGAACCAGAAAAGTAAGCTTCAGTCATTTTACTGAGCACCCAGCTGCTATTGTTTGTTCAACTTGAATGTATCTATCTTTTTATCTGAAATAAACACTTGCAGCATCATACAAAGCAGGAAATAATCTTTATTTTGTTTCTTTCAAAAATCTATTTAAAAACCAGAAAGAACAACCAATCTGATCATTCTTTACAGATCAACATTCTCAGTTTTTATTACAACTCTAATGTCAGCAGAGTGTTTTAATGACTTTAACTCATACTATAAAACTAGTTTTTACAACATTAACCTTTTAGCTGTAAAACAGTTAGCTCAAAGCAATGCTACCTCTGTTCAACTTTCACCTAAGAAAGAATGAAGAAAAGTTAGCTGAAAGGGTAGGAATTTACTTTTTTAGTACCTTTAGTTGATTTTAGCTACAGTGACTTAATAAATGATTAAATCTCACAGTTTTTACCAAAGATGAAACAAAGAATCATGGCGTATTTTATACATTGGTTTTTATTAAAGTTTATATTTTGCCCAATTTTTTGTAGATGTTTTGTGTCTTAATGTGTTCCAAATGTTATAATTGCAAATGAGATATCTTTAAAAAAATTATATACATATATATATATATATATATATATATATATATATATATATATATATATATATATATATATATATATATATATATATATATATATATATATATATATATATATATATATATATATATACATATATATATATGCTTTTTAAATCTTGATGTTAAGCAATATACCCTTGGCACGTTTTGACTCCATATGGCGGTTTACAAATGTAAAAAAAACATAGAGGGTTAAATACATCAAAGGTTTGACACACAGATAAGACATACTAGCCCACATAATTTCTTGGTCAACTCCAAAAACTGTGCAAATATTCCAATATATACATTTCTTCACCTCATGCTCCCTTATGTCTAAAAACCCATTAACTTTAGTTTCTGTTTTAGTCCTTTCTACTACAATTTCTACAATATCATCACACATAACATTCAAGTACCATGTATGCACTCACCGCCTGTAGTTGAAATTGCATTTAGAACATCCAAAGCTTGACTTCCAGGACCAAGAAAAAGCACCATATTTGTGATAAACACAATGCCAACCATTAGCATAGCAGTAGTTTTTACCTAATCAATCAAAAAATTATTTATTACTTTCGTTTGTCCAAATATCTGCTGCTACCTATATGTTCTGCTATACTCCTCAGCCCAGTACGTTATTTTCTTTTAAATGCCCAAAGATAATGCTACGTCTTTGGCAGCTCTATTGTCTGAGGTGAGGCTTTTCGGTCCTTTAAACACATTCTACAACTCACAGGAAATCCTCTAAGATCAGATGTTTCCTTACGTCACTGCCAGTAAGTACCCGTCACATGAACGCTGCGTAATGAAAGTTACAGCTGTGTTTTTTGCAAGCTGTGTATGGTAGACAATGATATATATGAATATATAGTAATAAACTATGGTTTCTTTTAAGGGAAAAAGGAAGGAAAAGTCCCTCAGGAACCACCTGGGATTTTAGGTACTCTCCTCTAGAGTGCAACATGTTATAGCAGAGCATTGAAGTTCATCCAGGTGAATGACACCAGCAAAAAAACACACACAAAGTCGAGCTGCTTAGACATGTTTTGCACTGTCTTTATGAGGCCATGAGAGCTTCTTAGGAGTCCATCCTGAGAGTGAGGAACTGTGCAGGGTCCAGTTCAGGCTGGGAGGACCTTCTCTGTGTATTCCAATGCCGTGGTGTCCGCCTGTCGAAGTCCGCAGGGATGTTAAAGCCTTACTGATCCAATTATTTTTTGCTTCCTGGAGATCGTTGGCCAGTACTCCCTTTTGATGTTCCAGCTCCTGTTGAATAACACACATATATAAGAATAGTACAGAAAATGTGGAAAAACCCTAAAATACACACTTTGTAAAGATATAATATACTTCTCAAAATAAGAAGTATAATGACAATAAGAAGATACTGGGTAAAAAAAAATGTTTAAGAACCAGGAATTATTCTTGTAGATCAGATACATTTATTGTTGTTAATGTTGGACAAAATTTACATGTAAAAAAAAAAAAAAAAATCGGACCGAAAGTAAGACTTTCTAAGCTTCCTCTCTATTGATTTTCATCAACATGATGCGAGGACTAATGAATGAAAGAGTCTGTATATGTAGATTCAGAGTTTGGTATTAACTCTATACATTTACTGAGTAACTTTCCGAAAAAAAAATATTTTAGGCATAGTTGTAATTTACTGAGATTTTTTACCTTTACTTAAGTAATATTCTTGTACTGGTAAATCTATCAATATTCTTACTTTAGTAATTTTTTTTTACTCCACCTACTATCTGTAACTTTAGCTATATTTGGATCAGAATGAGGAACTGGAAGTTCTTCATCCTTTCCTTAATTACATATATTACCTTCTGCAAGGATTTCTTTTATACATTCATGCTGGAAAATTGACGTGGAAAAGTCTGCATCATTTTTTTTCTTTTGTGATCATTATAATTATTTGTTTTTTATTTTATGATATAACTTGAAATATCAGAATCTGTGCATAAATTTGTACATCTGTACATTATTGTACATATTATTTAAGATGTTATTAGCAAACAATTCATCAGTACTTAAGTACATTTTTACTCTTACTTCAATATTTTTTCTTTTACTTTTACAGAGTAAAAAAGTGTTAAAGCAGGGCTACTTTTACCTGAGTAAAATGTTTACCCTTTATATTATTAATTGACTTTGTGTGTGTCATCTAATGCCTCCCCTACTCATATTTATACATTACATATAAGAGATTGTTTGTGTTTTTTGTCCTCAAAGCATGGAACTTTATGAGTTCACCATGGTTAGATTCAAACTGTGGCCCCTACTTTAATAATTTCTTGACTTTTCAAAAAGCTCACTGCACTATTCCTATTATGAGAGATAAGTGAATCAGAAAATGACCTGAAAATGATCAGAGCTACAACACCTTGGATAGTATTTGTTTCTTCTTATGAGTTGAAACTGTGGGAAGTCAAAGTGTGGAAACAAAGGAATATTCACAAATCAGTAAGTAAAGGCTTAAGGGGAATGCACCAACATGATGACTTACGATCAGTTTTCACACAGAGGAAGTAGGGTAGGTTAAAGAAGTTTCCACTTCTTTCTGCTCCACTTCATTAAAGTCATTGGGTGGCTATAGTGGAGTAAAACCTCTCCCAATAGACCTGGATGCCTGATATATATATTTTTTTTATCCTATAATTTTTTTTTTTTTTCAGCTGGGTGTTCTAGATTGGGCTGCTCGTTGGCACAGTGTGTAGCACTGCTGCCTTCCAGCAAGAAGGTTGCAGGTTCCATTCCCAGCCCAGAGTCTTTCTGTCAGTCCAAAAAAATGACTGTTAGGTTAATTGGCTTCCATAAATTCTCCTTAGGTGTGAGTGTATGCATGAATGGTTGTCTGTCCTGTTTGTCTCTGTGTTGCCCTGTGATGGACTGGTGACGTTTCCAGGGTATACCCCACCTCTCGCCCTTAGAAAGTCTGAGATAGGCACCCGCAACCCTCATGACCCCACTTGGGATAAGCGTGATGGAAAATGGATGGAAAGGGATGGGTGTTCTAGATCACTTTCTCTTTAAACTTTAGAAACCCTCTGATGAAGCCACGGAGGGTTAAAACCATATATCACCAGGAACAGTTGATGTCATTCTAAATATTTACAGATGAACAAGTTGTCACATTTTACCTGAATCTTACAGTTGGCCTCCACTACTTGCAGTTTAGTCTGGGCCAGCTCCTTTTCCAGCTCCCTGATCTGGACCTTTAGGGACTCCTTCTCCTGGTCCTCCCTAATCCAACCATCTCGTTGGGAGGGTTGGTTGGACTCCTCCCTGCCTTGATCAGTCACCTCTTGGCCCTCTGTAGATGGCGCTGTTTCAGACCTGTGGCCTGTCATGATTGATTCTGCAACAGGTCGACACTGGGAGCAAGCCTCTATTTTGCTCTAAAAGAAGACAAGAGAAGGTAAGAAGCAGAAGGAAGAGGGTGTTGCCATAAACTAGATATATGAGAGCAATGAATAAAAAGCAGACGTCTGCAGCGAGAGTGTCGCACTCACCTTGAGTGCACCCAGCTCCTCTCTGTGGGCGGCCTCCTGTCTCTCCAGACGTAGCGTTAGCTGAGAGCAAATCTGAGAGACAGAGCATCTTGTTTGAACTTCATCAAGCAAAAAATCCTGCAATCACTCCTACATATCACACCTACACATGTCTTGAGCACTACATTCTGATTGCACCAACAATGTCGTCAGTTGTCAGTACCTGTTTGTAGTCTAAAATGATACCAGAAGACTTTTTAATCTCCAGCTCAGCCCTCTCCAGCTCTCTCCGAAATACTTCCTTCAGCTGGAAAAAAAGAAGAGTCTTTAAACCCTTTTTTCTTGCAACCAGCAATAATTCTAGACACTGTTAAAAAATATATCATTACCATGGCAGCTTCTTCCTCTTTTCCTCTTATCTCGTCCTCTGTGGCCTGCAGTCGATGTTGAGTCTGCAGAAGGTCTTTCGTTAGCTCATCCACTCTGTCCTCCGCCTACAAAAAAGTAGAAACACACATCTTCAACTTCATCTCTTCTTATGCTTATATAGGCCTTTTTAAAGGAACTCTTCCAGTTTTTCACAATGTTTTATGTTCAGCTGCAAACTAGAATGAGTTCCACTGGATTTCATGGAATAGATAAACAACAGCGAATTACCTACAGAGATGCAAAGCTCAGCTATAGGACTGATGAACAAACTAAAATGACGTACAAATCTGGCCTTTATGGAGCTCTGGCTGTAATGATTTTGCCTCCCTGCTATTCTAATTCCCTGAGTAGCGTAACTGTAACTAACTTGATCCCTCGGCCCATAGTGTTTCCTGTTCTTTCTAATGGAGTTTTCCTACTGATCTGCTGAAGTTTAAAGTTAAATAAACCATTTAATTGCCTCTCTGTTTGTTGTTCCTGGCTAAAATGTTGTTTCTCCAGAACCAGTTTTTTACGCTGACATAATTTTTGAACTTTTAAAGAAAATCACAGTTTTCCAAAGAAAATGTGAAGGAGATTTGATCATTATTTGAAATTCTTCCAGAACAGATAGCGTCTAGGTTTAGCAACAATACATTGACTCATTCAGAGCCAACAGGTGTTAGTAGCACCATCCCTCGCCAAACAATAAAAGCAGTTATGTTTTAGTTTTTATTTGTCTACTCATGTATATATCTTCTCTAATAAATGCCTGAGCCAAATAAGAGCAAAAAATTAAACATTTTGAGTATGTAAAAAAAAAAAGGTTGTGTATGGTTAAAAAAAATATGGAGTGCTAATAATCAGCAGGGACAGGAAAGATTGTGATAGTTGATAAGAAGTTTAAAAGTGATAAATACAGGAAAATCAGGTATGAAAGCCTCTTAGAAGCTACAAAAGAGCTGAAACTAGGCTGGAGGGGTCATTTACCCTTGTGATCTTAAAACTTAAACATACACCCTGACTTGGACGTAACTTTTGGGGGGGGGGGTGGGGGGGGGGGGGGGGGGCATGTCCCCTGCATTTTTTCAAACATTCGTTTTAGTCCCCCGCACGTTGTACTCGCCAAAAACAATGTTACACTACAGTAAACGAAAAATCGTCGAGCACTAGGATCTTAAAACTTAAACATACACCCTGACTTGGACGTAACTTTTTTGGGGGGGGGGCATGTCCCCTGCATTTTTTCAAACATTCGTTTTAGTCCCCCGCACGTTGTACTCGCCAAAAACAATGTTACGCTACAGTAAACGAAAAATCGTCGAGCACTAGGACCAACTGCAAAACCACAGCTCAAGCTGAACCCGCTTTCCTGAGTTTAGACTGTCCACAAGCTCCTGATTGGCCCACCATCTTTTTTTGTAAGGTTGGCTGTCACCGCTGTCACTCTTAAGAAGCTCACTTTACAAACGACTGATGCGCCACTGAATCGGGTCTGTGATTGGATGGTCGTCTCCATCAAACTTTACTGAGCTATTTTGCAAAGAAGAATGAGAAAAGATTTCTGTTTGTAGATTTGCAAAGCTGGTAAAGACAATTCTTCAAAAACTGGAGCTGTCATGGCAACAAAATATTGGTTTTAAGAAGACTGGACACATGGCAGCAAAAAACGGCTCCACACAGCTCTTGATTTTTTATATGTAATAAGTGTGAAAAATATTCCATGTGACCCCACACCGATTATCATTCTATTGCATAAAACCTACACAGAATACACTAAATGTGGTTGTTCCATATAATCAGCCAGGACAAATCCATGTCACTAGAATGTAAACCATAACATTAGATGAGAATCCACCGCATTCTATAATGCAAGGAAAATTACAGCCTGAAATGAAAAAAAAAACTTCGTCAGGGAAGAACTGCCCTCTTCACAGATTAAGTACCTTGTCTAGAGCACACCTCAAAGCAACCTTGCTGGTAATTAGTCTGTGGGCCAAACTATCATTTTCCTGCTCCAGGCGAAGGCTGGCCTGTTGAAGACGACGGTTTTCTTTCTGCAAAGTGCAGAAAAAACATTGAGTTTCTGTAGCTGAGGAATGAAAATCAGGTCAATTTAGAAAAAGGAAAAACATGAGTCGGTTCTGACCAAGCATCTGTCCACAGGGTCATCGTCCATGATTTGAAGTCGACTTTGCCCAAGTTTCACTTTCTTTGTGGGGACCTTAGAAAAAAAAAAGACATGGCTTATTATTATGGAAAAAGGAAAAAATAACCAGTTTAAAGGAAATGGAGAAATCCATCTCTCCCAGAAACAGATTTCTGGGATATAAGATGAGCTTGACAAATCAAGAACAGGCCTCAGAATGAGATCCAAACAAGGATAATTCAAAGATAAGATAAAGCCGAGTACATGGGGGACATGGTAATCTACAACGCATCAGGGGAATTATGGAGGACGAGAGGGTTTATGGCAAAGCATGAAATGGATTTTCATATCTGAAATATCAGAACTCTTTTCAGGGTGCTGCAAATGAGAAATCTCACTGATGTATTAGATGTTGTGTTGGGACTTATGCCTTGTCATTGCCAGTCAGCAGCAGCTCATGTGAGGAATGCAGAGAGACAATGTTAACGGAAGCACAGGGCATTAACGTGATCTTCCCCCGTTCACAATAAAACAGGCCCTAATTAGATATGTTGGAGCTGAATAACAATATCTTATGCTAAAAAAACACCCAACACCATTTTAATTAATACCAGAAATACACCCAGGGTTTTGCTTAGACATAATAATCAGGAACACTGAAGCAGGGGGTCTGCAGGGTGATGAGACTGGTCCCACCGTTACCTGTAAATACCTTAACATTCAAGCATTTACCTAAAGACCAAACTAGCTGGCCTGAAGAGAAACCTTTCCAGGACTGATGAAAAAATTTATTTATTTCTTTTGAGCACTGTGAAACCTTTATCCAATAAGCCTCCAAAACCACTAAATTTAAGCCTGGAAAGCATGGTAGCTCATGCATAATGATATTCGAATGTTTTCACTTCACTAGAATTTGTACACTAGAATATTTTGAAAGGTTATGTTGTCTGCAACAAACCAAATAAAAAGAAAAATGCAATAGATAGAACGCAACATCTTCGATGCAGACCAACAAGTTAGTGATAATAACTCTTGCAACACATACATAAGGAAACAGCAGTTATTGCAGCTAAATATACATTAAGCTGTTTGCAGAAAAGGTTCTAACATTGCTCAGTTTATACTGCACTGATACCTTGAGGAGAATAATATCGTTCTGTTCCCTCAAGTTAATACCAGATTTAATCTGTAGTGCTTTCAAATGCTTTTAGAAGTTTTCCAAAAAAAACAGAGTTCGCTGACGTTTTCAAGCATTGCTGTTTACTATTTTGAAAGCACGTGTACATGGCATTGATTTAAAGTTGAAATGAGAAGTGCAAATAAATATCTGCCATTAAATCACTCAGATTGGTATCAGAGACAGGAATTTCACTTTAAGGAAACCCTGATTAATGCAATATTCTTCTTTGACAGAAAACCAGCTTAAAAGGAAACACACATAATGCAAATTTTCCCCAAAACTAACTTTCTAAGTGATTTAAACCAGTTTTGTTACAAAGGTTGACTTTATACATGATGACAAAAGCATTCAACAGTAAATGACTCTTACATTGAATGTCGGTTCCGTTTCAGCAACCAGACAGGCGAGGATCTCCTCCTCACTCATCTCCTCAATAGCATGGTCATTACAGGCCGTCACCATGGACACCTCCTGCATCATCTTGCCCAGATTTTCGGACACTAGAGCTGCTCCCCACCAGTCAGAGTACCTCCGCGTAAAGCCTCTGATTCCAACCAGAAAAAGTCAAAGAAATGTCACCTGATCTTAATAAAGAGGCTAAAAAAGACACAGTAGTCCGTAAATGAGAAACTTAAGCAGCAACGTTGAGGTTGAAGTCCAAGCTTCCTGGAAGGAAGGGGATTTTATTTACAGTCCAAAGGTGAGCAATTGTGTCACAGCACCAGACAGGTGAAGTGAGCGCAGCAGTGAGTCTTTCACAGGTGTGTGTGCACCAACAGGTTCATCGGTGTTTATATGACCAAGACTGGGTGAAACGAAATACTGCTTTGGACACGCCCACAGTTGTGTTTACATCACTTATCTCACCTGTTTTCTTCTTTGACTCACGAATCCAGCTGTTTATGAGCCTCAATTGTCCATTTAATCAGCTAACCCAATAAAATGTACTTAAATAGGTATAATGAGCAAACATAGTCTTTTTTTATTGTGCACTTTCATTTTCAGTTTTTTCCTTTTTTCTTCACACACTAGCACCATGCTGTGTGAACCTGCTAGACCTGTCAAGTCAACCCTGCAGTGCATGTAAGAAGTAAATGATGTGGCATCTGTGATATTTCTCCCAGGGGTGTGTGTGTGTGTGTGTGTGTGTGTGTGGGGGGGGGGGGGGGGGGGGGGGGGGGTCTATTATTGTTAAGGGCTAAGCAACCTGACAGGAAAGCAGACAGGTCCAGCTGGTAATGCAAAGCATACCGGAGCGGGCCGGCAGAATAACAAGGACGTCTCTGCTGTTCTAAGTAGGCCCAACATTTTCCCTGCATGCTCCAATGTTCCACCTAAACATGATGATGCAGTTTATCCTAACTTCATCTTCCGCTGTGAAGTCTCTCATGTCTCTCACATGAATGTTTCTCCAGCTCTCACTTCTTTTTCTCATAATTCAGTTTCACTTCTGTCTTCGAGTGTACGCTTTTTTTTTTTCCTTTTCGTGTTTGTCCCTTTGCGGTCAAGGCTTTTTGCTGGAATCTATGGTGGATAAAAAACTGTTTTCCCTTTTCTGACACAGAAGCTGTGAATTTAACACATGGTGTTTCGTCCCTCTGAGTCACAGTAGGAAAAAAAAAGCACAAAAAAAGCACTGAGAGGCATAAACCTTTATTTTTGTTCTCAAAAAAAGAAGAAGAAAAAAGGTGAGAAATAGATTAATAGAGACAAGATGGGTTTTATTACTCTAACAGGGTGTACTAAATAAAAAAAATGTACCAATACATTTGAAAAAAAGGTCAGAAATTTAAACAAAAAGTACAAAGCTCATTCTACCAGATATTGGAATATTTTGCTTGGTCAGAGTATATTATGTAAACCAGAAAGCTAATTTGAAACAGAAAATAAAAAATAGTAATTGATTGTATATGGTGGTTTTGTCGTGGGAGATACATCTGTTAAAAACATGGATCAGCACAGAATGTGATAAAGCACGGTGTTAACGTTGTGATATAGAGTTGGAGCAGGCCCTTACAGAAGTATTCATACCCTTCAGTGGATTTTGCTAAACTTTTCTGTGATAGAACAATGTAAAGTAATGCATAATGGCAAAAATTGAAAGAAAATGACATAATATGTCCTACAAATCTAAAATAATTGGTGCTTATTTAAATTCCTTCCCTTTTTACTCTGCAACCCTGAAGTCAAATCTTCTTCTAAACGGCAAATAACAGATTTAGTTGTATGATCTCAGATTTAAACCAGTTGCTCCGTGAAGGCCCAGAGGTTTGTTGCAGAACATTAGCAAAATAATCTACATAATGAAGTTAAGTAAATAAAAACATCCAAGGCTGCTGAATGTGTCACTGAGCGGTGAAATGAAAAGATGATGAAAAAACTGCCATGACTGCACAAGGGCAAAAATCGGACACGCAGATAACTGAAAAAATTTTCTCTTTGGAGGATCTATCGGGATCCACAGCTCAGGTGTTAAGTTTGCTACAGTCATGTAGGAAGTCTTGAGAGTGTGGAAGAAAGTTTAGTGGACGGACATTCTGCAATCAAGCATGGCGATGGCAGCATGACTGTGGGGAATGTCCTATTTGGATAAATGATGCTAGATACTAGAACAGCCTTAGAGGAGCAGATGTTTCACTTCCAGCAGGATGAAAAAAAGGTCCTTAACTAACAGCCAGATCAAAGGGAACAGTTTGGATAGGTCAGGCTTCAAAGTCCAGATCCGAATCTAATTGAGAATTAATTTAATGGAGAATTCCTCTTCACTGTTTTTTATTTTTCTATCCAAAAAAAAAACAGTAGGTCAGACTGATGTCAGATGTTAATTCTAATATAAACAAATCAATTTAAATACTAAAATTATTTCAATCACTTCACAATATACACTAACTTCCATTGATCTATCACATAAATCCCCCAAATATTTGATAAATATTTAATATTTGGGCCTGCTGAAAAGTAAAGGGGTATGAATACTTTGCAAGGTACTCTACTGGGATTAGAAACTAAATCTCTGAAAACCCCCCTTAATATAATTTGTGACAGTAAAATGTTGCCTCTGAATACACATTTCACGAGTAAGAAGAGAAAGTAAAACGGAAGAAGAGGAAATTAGATACTTTTCACAAAAATAGACAAATTCAGGAATAAACTGTATAATAATACTGCATCCGTGGCTCTAAAATCACTAAAATACGGTACATAATTTCAGTTTATATTTTTTTATTTGTCGCTCTTTTATCACAAATTTTAAAAAAATCCCAGGAATTTCTATTTCTTTGTCTGTATTTACCCAAGAAAAGGCCGACAGCACCAAATTAAACAGCAGACACTGAAACAAACATCCTATTTTGACAGCCTGGTTTTCTTGCACTTCATCACAACAAAGGTCACAATTAAAACACTTGAGACTTTCCTTGTTTACTGAAACTAACCGGTAGAAACTGCAAGATGCACAAAACTGCATAAAAAACTCCCCTTTACCTTCCCTGTTTCAACTCCTTTAAGGAGTTTCAATTACTGGCAAACGACTGCACAAAGAAAACTGGTAGCCCTCATGTACTGTAAGATGGAGGGGGAGGGAGGCTGGGGTTCACACATTTTCCTTTTGTCTTAGTTAACATGCAGAAAGGGGAAGAGGAACAGCAAACAGAAACTAAACTGAGGGGGTGATGTGGAGGAGAATCCTGTTGTGAGATAAAACAACACATGAAGACAGATCAATCATGTGCCTCAACTGCTCTTCACTGCTAATCTGATTTTTACTCTCGGTTTGGATTAGATTTCATGCTGATACAGAAAAACAGCACAGAGATTTGACATTAGAGCTAGAAGTGAAAGAAAGGAATTTCCTTGGTTTTAGTTTTGGATAAGAAGCATGACATAAACATTAGATCTAAAAGCAATTTATTTCACACAAAAAAAATCCTCATCCTACATCTCATAAATCTGATATTTCTGTGCACCTCTACCAATAATTGGTGTGCACATATACCTATTGGCAGTGGAAGCCCATGTGTTTGTAGCTGTATAGATTGAATTCTAGGTCTGCAGCATATTGATACAGGTTTGCGTAAAAGAGGAGACTTTAAAGTAGATGACAGAGGTTTTTTAAGGGATAGCATGAGGTGGTGTCAGAGAAGAAAACCCTTCTGTGGAAGATCAGTGTTATTTAGACCATTATGACACAAGAAACAAATCAGCTTCTAAAATATGATTAATTTGTTGGTAAAAGGAATTTTCCCCTATACTACAGATTTACTTCCATAAAATAATGCTTAATATTTACTGGTTCACTATTCCAAAATATTAATTTGGGGATCAATCGGCATGAGGTGTGAATGCTTCCACATCTGCGATGGTACAGAGATTATACCTCCAATGTTTTCACATTAGCAAGACAGGATTTAGCCTTGGACGACACAAATTGTGCCATTTACTGAAGTGGAAATAATCTTGCTGCAGCGTTTGAAGGCTGCTGCATGAATTTGTTGCCCACACAGGAGCACTATCAGTGGGCTGAGCTTGTGGGTAACTGTGACTAAAGTCAGATTGTGCAATGATCTAGGTATAATTGTGCCATGTTTCAATAAATCACCTGATTTCCGTCCTAAAAGGCATTTACAAGTTAACCATGTTGGGGTATTTGCGTGGAAAATGGATACTGGTGATCAGAGAGTCAGACGTCGGTGCTATAGGGGCGTGGCGGGGAAGGGAAAACGTCTGTGGGGCTGTAGTAGCTCAAAGGTGAGGAACGCTGTGGGTTTACAGGTATAGGAAGAGAGGCAGACGTGTTATAGGTGGTGTCATAGTAGGTGTGGAAGCCAAGCCGCTCCCCTCCGTTACGCACATCGTCTGCAAGTCCAGAGCGGATGGGGTATGGCGAACAAGTGGGGCAGGTGTTGTGCTGTGAACCTGAGTCCAGCTGATCCAGGGAGACCGGAGTGATGTCGGTCCCGTCCATTGCGAGGGCGTTGCACGCGTTGCAGGGAAAGTGAGACAGAGGATCTGCTCCTGCCGTTGAGCCCACATCCGCCTCAGACTCATTTTTCTTACAGCAGTAATACTGCAGGACATAAACAGCATACACAGGGACAGAGAAGGGGAGAGGAGTTCAGATTCTTTACTAAGAAAACATGCTATACAATGAGGATTAACTGTACTAAAGCAAATTTGACGTAGTAGTTATTATAATTAGAAATGCACAGATCTGATCCAGGTATGAGATCGATGGATCTCTAACTATATTCATCATAATAGTCCCAGTTTTTCCTCCTCTTAAAATTTAAAAACATTAATTAACATTAATGTATTATTTAATAATTAATCTCACATTAGCAGCAACAAACACATTAACATATCTAAAAATAATTATCTTCTGTAATGATCCACAGTATTTGGGGGCTAAGCTATTATAATCCCTGGTATAGATGCAAAAATAAATAAAGTAATTTCTCAAGACAGTAGCACATTCTTTCACAAAAAAATATAGAAATTAACTAAGGCAGTAACATCATAAGTAATTAATAAAATCACCAATGGTACAGTTATCACTGAGGATCCCCATAATGAATATGACCAAAACCCCTTTTTCATTTCTTATGAAAATGAAACCTGCTTCTGGGAACTCCCTTTAGTATTGCTGCTACAGTAGTAAGTATTATGTAAGGCAGTGACCCATTTCTTTAGAGACTGGCCGCTCGGACGGACGAGGACCATCATTAATCTTTTTACTTGCACTGTCAGCAGGATAGTAAAGCAGATAAAACTCTAAAACACTGTTGTAGTAAAAAGATGTTAGCCATATTCAGACTGTTAAAATATTACATATTTAGACATAACTGATGATAAAGAATTAATTTAAGTCAAAATTGATATTGACTGAGCCCTCGTCCCCTTCACAAGTTGCAGAAGAACAAAATGAACAGCATACTATCCCCTGCTAGAGGATCTGTGATACTAAGGCAGTTTTTCTTTAATCTTGTTAAACATCGAGGCATCATGGATTCTTCAAAATACCAAAGTCTGAACATAGCATGTCCTTCTTGGGTCTTTCTCCTTATGGAAATAAGATGTTAATAAATCAAAAGCAGAATCTTTGCTTTACATTTTTAGTGATACAATGTAAAAACTAGATTGAACCCTAAGGATTTTTGCACAGCATTAACATATAAGCCGACAAAGTCTGTGAATATTAAATGATATTCACACATTTCTATTGTTTATGGATCTTTAAAATGTACAGGGAAGCAAAACAATTACCCATAGTTTTACGTCTAAGGAAACCCCTAAGGAAAGGTCACTTTATCTTATATATTCTCTTTGTTTTCAAATTGTGAGACATTAATTAGTGCGTTACTTGATACCTGCAGTCTACAGTAACAGAGAACTGCTACGATGCACAGCAGTATCACCCCAGCAAGAATGCCTCCGGTTATAACGATAGTTCCCGCTGACATTCGACCAGCTCTCCATCCAACCCTGTAAAGATGAAGGGAGAACAGAAAAAAATTGGAGCTTGTCAGAGAGACATTTATGAATAAGGAAAAAAAAACTGATAAATGCTGGAAATGTGTTGCAGAATACCTTCTCATAAAATATTACATTCATATTTGGGAAAACTAGAACAATCTCCTTAAAACAGACAGATTTCTGTTTGTGGGTATTCAGTAGATGACTGATAATGTCTGATGCTAATACCTGTGCTAATTTGCACAACAGTGATAAACTTTTCATTTTCTGTTGGCTGGAATGAGCAGAATTTAGAGAACATGTTTACTTTGATTCTACAAAAGCCTGAGGGTAGAGCTGTAAAATGCTGCTTTCTACATAAGCCGAAAACATTAAAACATGCCCTCATTCTGAGTTCTGCTCATGATACCGGGCTTTTGCTTTAAAACTTTCATAATATATTCCCAACATCTTGACCTGGTGACTGCACAAGCCAAAGTATGTTATATTTTAGCAAGAAACGGTATTTCTTAGTGAGAAGTTGTTGATGGATGGAAGATTACAGCTCTCATAACCAAATTCTATAGTTTTCCAGGGCTAAATGTATTGATTTATATGTAGAGGTATCAGATTGGGAAATTAGGGAAGGAGAGGTGGAGGTGGGATGGATGGATGGATGGATGGATGGATGGATGGATGGATGGATGGATGGATGGATGGATGGATCCATAGAAGTTATTGGCAAGAGCTTTTCACCGAAGACGAACTACATCTTGGACGAAGGGCAGACATTTTATATAGAATAGAAATATATTCTTATCAGCCCTGATTGGCATAAATCAGGCGCCTCACTGGAAATGGGAAATAGACAAATGAAAGCATACAGATACACACAGGATTAAAAAAAAATGTAAAAGAACAAAACCCAAACGCTAAGGTAGGCGGCAAACACAAAATAGCAAACTCAGGTAGAAAAAAGAAGCCCTTTTACAGATAAAAACAAAAAAGCAGTGTGAATGATAACATGGAGAAGACAATTAAAACATTTTTTGAACACAGGAAATGGGTGACAGAATGACTATAAACACGTATTGGGTCTGTGGGGAGCAGTGAAGTTTACATTTCTAGGAGGAAGGATCAGCACCAGTGTTAGTTTGTGCACATAGTGAGCAGTAGTAGTTTTTGGGCAAAGAATCTCTCCAGTTACGTAACAGTGTAATGCATGGACTAAGAGACAGTCTCCAACAAAGATGTTACTTTGGTTACAGTCCAATGTGAATCCTAGGACAGAGGTGATGTTACCAATAAGATTAATAGTATGCAAAAACTAAGGATAATATACTTAGTTCACAGCACATCACTGCTGTGGGAAGCGCATTGGTACAGTTTTTTTTGTTTTGGTGTTAATTTATGCATTTGGACATAATTACAACTAATGAGGCAATAAAATTATGCAGGCCAGCAGAAAAGATAATTATAATCTAAACCTAACCATTAGCAAAATAGATTGAGAGGACAAGCAAAATGTCCTCACTTTACAACAACTGGTCCTCAATGTGATGTTTAAACTGGAAAAATGGTCCTCACACTGAGGGCTAGACAGGTACACATACACACACACACCCCTACCTATTAGTGCTTAAGACTTCAGATTTTTGATGTCTTATTCATGGTTTAAAAACTTTCCTGCTTAGCAACATGGAAAATTACCATAAAAAGTTCATAAGCTAATGTAACAAAAATCTGTGATTTCACCTGCAAATCCTCCCTGGAAAATTTCAGAGCTGTAGTTGTCTGTTTAAAACAAGCTCAGGTCTTTACAACGTACTTACCCCGCAGCTACAGTCTTAGGTATGTAGTTGGTCTAATATTGACTCTTGTTCAATTAACTTCTCCATGCTTAGATGGACAGATGAAAACAATAATATATATTTATATTATCATGCTAAAGCTTCTTGATAAGTGTATCCTTTTGTATTGACTCTAATAGCAAGTAGCATAACATTACACATAACATCATTACATACAGTGCCAAAATCTGCCACTGTAACGCGAAGGTCACGTTACAATGCTATGTGAGAGCTGCTGCTGTAATACAGGTTTTTCCTTTGACAAAGAAAGTAATTACAGAGCTGACATTTAAAACTCAATAGTATCTTATGTAAGCAGACAGCATAGCTAGAAATGATATAACAAGATTTTCTATGCTGCTTCCTTCCCAAAGCCAACACACTCCCTTACAGGCTGTAGTTGAGAGTTGCCAAGGATACACCCAAAGCGGGTTTGGCGTACTCCATTCAACTTTTCTGTCATGTGGAGAAAACCCCACCTTCTTTTTAATGCCAGCTTTTGTCTTCTTTCTTCCTCTTAGTTCAATTTAAGCAAGGCAGAAAGCCTTCAGTCAGTCACAACTTCTGCATCAAAGAGTTTTGGTGGCATTGGCTCCATGTTCCAGTTAGTGCGATCTCTTTTCCTGTCCGCATCAAAACGGATCCAGACCAATATTTTGGACAGATGTCCTTTTCTTCAACTTTTTCTTTTGTGTAAGAATTAAACCGCATGCTTGTGTCACATAGCTGCACATGTTTTTAATTTGACATGGACAATCTCGCTCATACAAGGAGCTGTTGTACATTTTCAATAAAGTCTAACTTTTGTAAACCCTCTTATAAAAAGAGGTTTGAATGTACTTTACAAATAAATGTAATATAGAAAGTAGCCAGAAAGAACTGGCGAATCCTCTGTTAGGGAGGGACTTTTTAGATGGTTTAAAAAAGAGAGGTAGTAGATATTCTACAAGGGATGTTAAATTGGAGTTGGTAGAGAAGAAGAAAACCCACCAACAAACCTAATGGATGTAGTGAGGAAGAAGAAAGTCTAACAAAATGTAACCAGCAATAAGTCAAGGAATTTTATTTTTGCGGGGCCGCTTCCTATGTTGCCCCAAACTCTGCTGGCTGCTTTAAACGGCCCGCCTCCACAAGCAGTTGAAAGATCCTCACCTTTTTCCGCTGTGATTGTGGCTTGCTATTGGCGTCTTCCTTACAAATTCATCCAAAATCCTTGAACCTATTGATTTGATTGCCGGGTGAGTTTAGAAACAGTATTACTTTTTCATGTGGTACTTCTGCTCAATTAAGTACTTCTGCTTTTATTATTTGATTATTTAAATGGTCTTGATTGACATTTTGGAAGTGCAGTTTAATTTTAAATTAGATAGCTTGAAATATGATACTTTTTTGTTTTACTTTATTCAAATTATGGTTAATTTAACCTGATTGAAATATTTATGTCAAATTATCAGGAATCTGATTTTTGCAATTGCATTTGATATGCATAAACTAAATGCTTAAATTTAATAATTATTTCCTTTGTATTATAATGGTATATAATTGTTGTTTTTGACCAAACACTCAATGGGTTTTCTGACCTTTTAGGTTGGGTTTTTTTGTTTTTTTCCCCTGTTGGATCAGATTCTCATCTGGAGCTGAAGATCATGAGCCAAAAATGGACTTTGGACTTTATGATTTTGAAATTATTTATTTAATCTGTCAATTCTTTTCTGTTTCATTGTGTTGCTGTAATTGTCTGTTTTTTATTCAAATCACGTTATATTCACCAAAACTAACAGCACTGCCTCCTGTTTTTTCACACCTCAGTCTCTTTTAAAGGACACTCTTCTGATGCTGCTTTGTAGCTGCAGTTAGCTGCCTAGACCATAACTGTTACAAAAACATAGAAGAAGATTTATGACGTAAGCAAACATCTGTGTTGATGTATCAATGGAGCAGTGAAAATAATATGAATTAAACATAGAGATGCTGAATTATCTTTGTTAACTGCTAATGGGAAGCCTTTAGACAGCTGTGGTGTAGAAAACAATGAGTTTCAACCGGAAGAAGATATTATATATCTGCACTCTTCTTTGTGTTCTGTGTGCTTAGTGAAAAAGATCCACATGTGAGACAGAGTCAGCTGTAATGTCTCGGCCACCATCTGAAGAGGCACTGATGGGCGGAATAAAGCTGCCCAAAACATGGAGCAAAACCCTCATCCAAGGTCAAAAGAAGAGAAGTGGAAAATAATAAATCTCAACCCATTAAAATGAAAATGATTGACCTGCCCTATCCGCTATCAGCGGCCTTGATTAGTAAATACGTCCATCCATTATTACAACTACACAAAATCTAATCTTCATCATGCGATAACAACAAACCTATTTGTAGAAGGAACCAGCTGTTTTACACATTACAGAGCCAGTCAAACTCAGATAAACAAACCAGCTTGTCTATAGTTTTTTAAAGCCAAAAAACCACACTTCTGACAATAAGGACCTTCAAAGCCAAGGTTAAAAAAAACTGAATCTGTTAAATCATAAATAGATGATGAGGGAGGATATGGTACAGAGTGTAGCTATAGGTTATAAAACAAAGGGGGTTGTTTTGTTGACCAAAAAAATGCTTTTTCATTGGGAGTGTGTCTTAATGTTGCACAGATTAATAATATAATATATTAATATCATTTACTCCTATGATATTTCTTACTAATTGTATTATTACGTTATTTTAGATTCTCATTCGGGAATCCTGGAAGCTTAAAGCACACACTTTCACTTACATTTAAAACCTTTGGTTTCAGACACTTCTATACCAATGAGGTTGAGAAAGAATTATCACCAGAAGGAAATTAGTTGATTCAATTCTTTTTAGATGCATACACAAAAACCCCAACAAAAGTTGTATCTAAGCTATATAAAAGCTTACAAAAACGAAATGGAAATAACTCATTATATGTATAGTCCAAATGAGAAGCAGAGTTAAAAGTGAAACTGTCAAAGAGTGACTGGCTTTCAATGTGCAAAACACAACAGTCCTCCACAAGCTCTAGACGCAGGAGGGAATACAGATGGAAATACGCTACTTTATAACGCCTCAATTACAAAATGAAAATACTCCATACTCAGCAACAATGTTGGACAGATGAATGCCAGTCCCTCTCATATATTTTGGCAATGTACAAATGTACAAACC